AATATGCTTAAACTTAGATACTTAAGTTAAGTTTTCTTTGTCATCATTTCTGTCGTTAAGTTTTACCTTGCAAGTAAATAAAACCGAGTAATTATCATTCTGTGTTTTCTTCTTCAACTTATCACAGCAATAGTAACAACAATTAGGTAATCATTGGCTGTCGCGGGCCAGATTGATGACAGTAATGTGATGTGATGACATCACATACAGCTCGGCAAGAACATATTCTTCTGATTTCGCAAATATTTTCAAATCAGCTATTCAATCCTTTAGAGAAATTTTAGACCGCAAAAAGTATATTTTTTGCGTCAACTCAAAGTTTCAACGTATTATGTTGTTTTAAAAGTTTTTTCCTTTTTACGAGTCTGCTTTAAACTTTTTGACCGTTCCAATGGTTTTAGACACACTGTATAAAAATAGAAAGTGGGTACAGATAATGACCAATGATAACTCGTTAGATTTCAAATTTGCGACTGTTCAAAGTTTCCTCAAATTCACCAACATAAAAACAGAATAAGTTATTTGACATAAAACATAATAATTATCTAATGTTATATTTTTCTCGTATCTTGTGAATGTGAAATCAAGGTTGTATTAAAGTACTCGACGTTACTACTAATTACTGGTGTTTTTTGTCCATAATTAAATAGTGAATCATAAAAGTTTCGGAAAAATTCACTGATTCATATTTTTCACGTACAAAGTTATATTTTTTGTGATAAATGGTACGATAATAACTAAATTGACAGCCAAACTTGAGTTTTGTCGTACAGGAAAACATTGCTTTTGTTTTCAAGATACTTTCCTAATCAATTTTTACTGCGTTACCTGAATAGAAACAGAAGTATAACCATATCACGAATTGGGAACAAATGAAGCTATATTTTTTAATGTTCCATGACCGAAAGTAGGTTTCTATCGATCTCTTTTGGGTATTTCCAGCTTCCATAATGTGAAAAATATAAAAATTGTAATGGAGAAATGTACACATGTGTAGAATTGAATTAATGCGTAAATTCAAGGTATTTTTCACAAAAAAAAATAGTCTATTCATCAGTAACTTGTCGTTTTTAATAATTATCGTTGAATTCATGAACGAATCTGGATAATCGTTTTTTTTCAGAGTAGATTGTATCAATGATTGAAAAAAAAACGTTTGTTTCATAAAATTGACGCTGCTCGTTAATGACAATTAATGTAATTCTTTGTTCACGAGTGACTTATTCTTCATGCTGATGCTGATTCTGACGAATTTATTTTTGTTAGTAAAAGTTAATTAAAAAAACTTTCATCAATGCCAAATTATTGACATATAAGTTACACATAAATATCAACATAAGTACACTAACAGAAGAAGTGACGATGGATTTTTTTGCAGCAATGGACCAATCCACCCAAGTGAGCTTCCCTATAATTCCAAGGAATCAGCACAGGAAAATGTGGAGGCACAACACATCCGCTGATTTATTCGGGACAATGCCAAACAGAGGAATGCCTTTAAATAACTCGTGGGTGAGGAAATATTATTGAAAAACTTTTGAATGTTACGCTATCTGTGTAGGAATACATCGGCATTCGATTCGTGTTTTCGGCGAGGCTTCAGAAAAATTGAATGACTCACTTTCGACTGTTCATGGATTTTTTCTCTAATGTAATTTCAAGATTCTCAAAATGAGTATTTTATTTTGAAGGTTCAGTATATCATTCAGTTTGAATACCCTTATTTGAATCAACGTCATTACTTCAAGGTGGAATATGCATTTTTTAAATGATTACGTCAGGTTCACGTTAGGTTAGGTCCAATGTGAGTAGGTCTATTCGTCCCTCCATCGCAACCCGCAAGGGTTTATTGTGGCTCACACATATTCTCACTCGGACAAACAAACCCAGCTTCTTGACGAAGCCGATTAGTTTGTATGGTGAGTGGTCTTTCAGGTCAGATGGTAAAAGTACGGCTCTGCCGAAAAGTTCGGCTCTGCCGACAGTCCAAGTATCTGCATATGATGATTCAAATGACAGTGACCTGTAAGTCATCCCTACTGACCTACTGGTCATCCAACAACTGTTTGGTATCAAGCTTCGAAGATTCTTTCAGAAGTCCATAAATCTTCCTGGCATTCAGTTGCTCAATCTTTATTTGGCAAAGCCTAAAGCGGTGCCAATGACAGGTTCCGGTCCGATGAAGCTTCTTGCAGAACCCTCCTTTGCAAGGGATTATGTACTTGAAGAAGCTAATATGTATTGAAACACATAATACAGTTTCGTAAACTGTTTATTGTGTATATCAAAAGTGACATTTCGCAAAATGTGGGTTCGTCTTTACAAAAAATTATGAATGAGGTGTAATTACATTTGTACTTCACCAAGAATAATTAACGATTTGAGGAAAGTTGGCAAACAAATAGTTCTAAAGTTAATGACAATTTAGTTAAACAAAAAAAAGTTCATTTTTGCAAATCTTTCAAAAACGTGTGTACTTGGTAGATAGTAGAATGAACAATAATCCATCAGCAAAGTTTCCTCCTAAATATTCTTTTGTTTTGTTTATTCTACTATCTACCAAATATATTTTGTAGAGGCGTTCGAATTGAGCACTAATTTATATTTTTCTTTAGCTCATTTTTTGAATTTAGTTCCTGCGTCGTCATGTGCAAGTATGTACCTGCAGGGTGGAGTAATGAAAATGGATCAAAGGACAGGACTTTCTCTCGGTGACATTTGGTGACAGCGGTGGGATAAGTACCGTCTAAAAATTAGAAATGGATACTCGTAGTAGCATAGTCATAGGTGATAGATTACATCGGTCGTTGATTAAAAGGCAGCATGAATATTTGGGGATATATAAATCAAAGTGTAATTCATAACATACCAAAAATTTATCACAAAAATGTTCATACAAACTGAAATTTTTCAAGATGTTTCTGAATTTTTAGTATGATAAATATTTCCCTTTCAGTCTCAACTCAGAACTATGCCGCACCGACCAAAATCTCTGAATTTAACAGCGGAAGCTTACAACAGGACGAAAATCATGTATTTAGAAAGTCCTATTTCCAGGCTGTCACATCCAGCTATGATGGAAACCCCTATAGGCTCCATATCTAGAGAGCGAACACCACCTTTCTCCAGTGACTCCAGTATAGCTTCAAATGGTGCTTTTGGATTCCCATCGTATCAACCTTCACCAAAGGTGAGTAAACGTTATCTGTTTGAACAACATTGACCACGTTTATACGCACATATTGTTACGTTGACCACATTGTATAATCAAACTCAACTACTACACTGTCAATACCACAAAAAAACTAACTCAACTTTGACTAATGATCAAATGTATATCGCCTCATTAGCTAAATTCGCACTGCACTTTCCAAACTAGACTGCCTTCTCTTCGTTGTGGTAATGCTTATAAATTTCGAAGGACGTCTTTGAAAGCCGGTGGAATAATTGCAGGAGTAATCCTGTAAATCCTTGAATTTGTGTCATAAGGTTTTAAATGAAATAAGAGCCAGATCCCTAGTTTTTTGGCCATTTATTGAATCAAACCGAAATCCTATACGTCAATCAGAATTTTTTGTATGACCACTTGCAAGGAGCAAAATTCATCCTTTTGTTCAGGACTTCCAGTTTCCCATAATAACTTTTTTTCTCTGATAACTAACACATTACTCTGCTTCCATGAGTTCCTATGTTTTGTTTAGATCGTTTACTCGGTACAGTTTCAAATCCAGTTATTTTCATTTGCCAAAATGCGGTACATTCTTCGCAAGTTCAAAATTCTCAGTAAAGTTAAACTGAACATAATTTTGGAAAATTGAATTCCGAAAAAATGTTTTTAACAACTTTATTGAATATTCCTACTATTGATGTGCATTTTTGGGTCAATATTGTAGGTTTTTGTCTCAAAATTCTCAGAAATGTCGTGTGAAATCGGAACTCGATAACTTTTCTGATGACATTATATTCAAAACTAATTCTTCCGTTCAAATAATAGTTGAGTTTCGGCGGATCGAAATCCAAATAACCTTCGAAGCAATGTCGAACTAACACATTATGAAAACTCGCGTCTACAAATCATAACAATCATTTCAAATTATTGACTACACGGTGTAATTCGCGACTGATTCATATTTAGGCAACAGAATCCATTGTTACACTTCAATTTTCGTTTCCGATGTTCTCGTGGGATATTTTTATGTCATTGTTTTTCGCAAAGTCATCATTTCACACCAAGGTTATGTAATGTATGTGCGAATTTCAATATAAAATAGGTACGTATTTTTGTTTGTTCCCAAACTTTTTTTGTGACGGAACCCTTTTGAAAAGCGAAATACTTGACGTAACTCTACAATAAAACAATATAGTTTTCAAAAGTGTATTCACTGCCGAAAGTCGCATGTTCACAACTGTAGAGTCTAATTTCAGAGGCGGCTTTCATCGAAGGGACTTCGCGCTCACAAATACACACATCGGAAAAGTCTAGGGATTACACCGTCTTTCAGCAAGGCAGCGGTAGCTTTGTCTCGAGCGGCGGCTCGTTTGTGTCGGCCTGACGAAGAATGCCAATCATTTGAATAAACAAAGTATACAGTGCTGGGTGGCGATTAAGTTCGGCTGCGCCTCTTGAATCCTCATTCGCCGCGTCAAAAAGGTCGACCAGAGAAAGGTGTTTTGAATGTGTTTCTCATTTCTTGCGGAACCCCTACGGAACCCTAGGGTTCCGCGAAACATACTGGGAGTATGGCTGGTATAGAAAATATGTGCTTAGATTTTATGGGGATATTTCTGTTCAAACTGGAATATATCTTGAAATTATCCGATGGTTATGGTAAAATTTTTATCTAACTGTAACTCCATTTTCATTGAGTCTCAGATTCACTAAAAACCAATACAACTATAAATTGATGGATGTAGCTGTTACTACGTGGTAGGAAATCATAATGAAGAAAAGAGAATTGAAACTTTCTTTCTTTTACCACTTTTATTTGTCGTGAAAAACATAGAAAGTTTTAATTATCTTTTCTCCATACAACTAACTTGTTACAGGTTATGTTAATAACCCGTCAATATGACACAGTTTATATAAACGAAAATACATTTGTAACGGGTGATTTTTTAAGAGGTGTAGGATTTGATTTTCAAAACAACACAAAAAATTTGAAAAAAATTATGAACTCTTTATTGGAATCGATAGAACGATCAATATAATTTAATGCTTGAAGACGATTTCATGCAAATCCGCGGCTCCGCTTTAGATGGCCCATGCGCAAGGTCCAATTTTGGCACACTCTCTTCAACATATCGAACGGTATTTCACGTATAAATCCTTCAATATTGGCTTCCAGAGCCTCAGTCGTTGCTGATTTATCCCTGTAGAGATGAGCCTTAACATGACCCACAAGAAATAATCCAACGGCGTTAAATCACACGATCTAGGTGGCCAATTGACGGGCCCCAAACGTGAGATAAACTGTTCACCGAAGGCGGCTCTTAATTGGGCCATTGTTTCACGTGCCGTGTGGCATGTGGCATCGTCTTGTTGAAACCATATGTCAGGCATATCCAATTCTTCCATTATGAAAAACAAAAAGTCGTCATCATCACACGGTAGCGCTCGCCATTCACAGTAACGTTCCAGCCATTGTCGTCTTTGAAGAAGTACGGCTCGATGATGCCACCGACCCATAATCCATACCAAACAGTTACTTTTTCGGGATGCATCGGTATCTCTTGCAAAGCTTGTGGCTGGTTTTCACTCCAGATGCGGCAATTTTGCTTGTTAACGTATCCATTCAACCAGAAATGAGCCTCGTCGCTTAACACAATTTCTCGATAAAAATGTGGATTTTCCTCCAACTTTGCCAGCGCCCATTCATCAAATGTTAGACGTTGTGGGACGTCGTGTGGCTTCAATTCTTGCACCTGCTGTATTTTATAAGGTTTTACACCCAAAACCTTTCGCAAACATTTTCACAGAGGCCTAATTGCTGCGAACGGCGGCGAATCGACATTTCACGGTCATCACGAACACTGGCGGATACAGCCGCAATATTTTCTTCGGTCCTCAATTTATGTATGCGTGTTGGTGGTTTAATGTCCAATAATGTAAACTGGGTTCGAAATTTAGTCACAAGCTTCCAAATAGCTCCCTTAGTAGGCCGACGAAACTGCCCATAAATTGGAAGAAGTGCACGATGCACTTTCTTCACCGAGCATGAATTTTGATAATAAAATTCAATAATTTGCAAGCGTTGACAATGACACAAGACACGATTCACGCGTGATCTATTATAAACAGTGTTGCCAAAAAAATCACTGATTAGTAGGCGGATTAGTCTTCAATTTTTAAATTTCTGGTGGCTCCTTTCCTTTATTATCGGTCTTGGAACAAACATATTCATTCAGTGATATGTTATCAATACGGCTCATATTTCATCCAATTTCTTTTAATACCCTCTCTCTCTCTCTCTCTGTCTCATTCAATGGTCAGTTACATTAATCCTACATCTATACCGAGCATGAATTTTGATAATAAAATTCAATAATTTGCAAGCGTTGTTCATTCGAAAGTCGATTCATGGTTAAATTATAGACCAAACTGAACAAGTTTGACACTGACAGAAGACACGATTCATGCGTGATCTGTCAAAAACAGTGTTGTCAAAAACAGTGTTGCCAAAAAGATACCAGCGAAAAAATCACTCATTAGTAGGCGGATTAGTCTTCAATTTTTAAATTTCTGGTGGCTCCTTTCCTTTATTATCGGTCTTGGAACAAACATATTCATTCAGTGATATGTTATCAATACGGCTCATATTTCATCCAATTTCTTTTAATACCCTCTCTCTCTCTGTCTCATTCAATGGTCAGTTACATTAATCCTACATCTATTTCATTTAAAAATTCGCATTGAATTCAAGGATATCATCATAATAAAATCTTATAGTGAACATAAACAAATTATGGAAGAATGTGTCATTTGCTCGTGTCTAATAGATGTTTTCTTGCATAACGCTTTCCAGCGAAAGTCGTGTTCAACTGCAACATATTTCACGAAAAACAATCAAAATAACTAATAAATTTTGTTACAAATGTAAACGCGTAATTACAAATGCGTTCTATATGAAAAGATATACAATGTGTCACTTTGAAACCCTTTTCCACAATTTTGTAGCTTTTTTTACTTGCGAACTATTTGAAAGCTCAAATTCCTTCATTAGAATTTGCGATGTTTTATATATATACACGGTGTCCCATATAAAACTCCACGGGTATATATCTAAAAAATGAAAAAGAATATCCATATTTCGTGAAAGCAGATAACTTTGGTGTCAACGACGCCAATTTTTTCAAATGGTTACCCAGTATTTTCAATTGGTTTTTGAATTCTGCATTAAATTCTGAATTCAGCTATATAGCACACTTGTAGTTTGCTACTGAATACTGAAGAAAAAAAAGCAATTTTATTGCGTATTATAAAGAGGGTCATGAATAAGTCAAAATAAATGCAATAATGTATTTATCGATCTGTCAGAAGGACTGTCAGATTTGACGAAAGTGTATTCAGTTTTGTGTTGGCTGTTGTTGAAAAATGGTTCAATTTTCAAATGTAGAAAAGTTGGATATGATACGCATTTATGGCGAAGCAAGAAGGAATTCAAAATAAGCAGTGAGAATATACGCTAATCGGTATCCTGACAGAAAATTACCGTCAGACAAAACATTCGCTGGCTTAGCCAAATCTTTGGTACGAAATGGATGTTTTAATGAATAGAAGCGAAAAAAAAAAACAAAACTTATAACTTTAGCGTCATTTTGTTGTACGTACAAATCTATTTGTGATATTTACCTTTCCTACTCTGTAACTGGTCCATGGTCTAATAGAGTTTGTAAATAAATAAATAAATAAAAAACACGGCTCAACTGATGAAGCCAACGATGAAGCGAAACTTGCCGCGTGGAAGATTCGTCGCAAATCATTTCCAAATCAAAGTTACACAGGTGCCTGATGATTTGACTTCAACTTTCTGCGAGGCATCAACTGTGTTAGTTGTTTTTCCGTCGGGTATCTGCCACACGTACCTACGTGAACTAAGATTTCGTGATAGAAGGCATTAACTTAGTCAAAACAATAATTTGGAAATCAAACTGATACTTCTTGATTGCGAATATCTGTTGGTCTTGAAATAGTCCGCACAATTTTTTTAAGAGCCGGGCCCTTGGCGGTCCTTTAGCTCTGTATGCAGTTGACCAATCAGTTGAGACGTTCAATCAGTCTCAAGTTCTTTCTTTCATTAATGAACAATTATGTTAATTTCAGATAAAATTAGGGGATGAAGACAGTACCGTGAGCGATTCGAGAACGTTCTGCCGATGTTTCGATGTCGAAGCAGGAGGAACTAACGAAAAACGACAACTAACGAACACAACCGAAGGACTTTCGTGGAGAAGATTACATATGTCTAGGGCGAAACTGAAAGCAACAGCAACAACATCGGAACTTTTGTCCGGTTTTGCAATGATAGCCATGGTGAGAATGAGTGTTTTTAATACATTAGTGTTGTAAAAATCAAATGACAGGACATAGTTTGCATATCGGGTATATACTTTGTAGAGTCCTTCGGGGATCAAGTCAAGGACTAGATATTTTTCTAATACCAATACATAAATGCACAACAAAATTTCTTGCAATACTGAGCCAAAAATTCTGTTTTGATTACTAAATGATTATTATTACGATCAGTATCTTCAAAAGTCATTCCCAAGAAACTGTTATAATTTGTTACCATTTTTTTGTTTGTTCATACTATACTGATATGTTATGAATATGTCTGTCTTCATGTATGTTAAATTTTGGTAATATAATTATTGAATAAACATTATTACTGTTATTTTGAAGTTGACTAAATCACACTGCCTGCTCATCCGAAGGTTATGTTAGGTCAAAGGTGAGTGGGTTTATTCGACCCTCCATCGCAATACGTAAGGGTTTATTGTGGCTCACACCTATTCAAACTCGACGTAATAAACCCAGCGTTTTGGCGAAGCCGATTAGTTTATATAGCGCAATTGCCTGGTGGCCGTATGCTTTACAGAAAACGGCTCAGGAGAAGCTCTCTGGCTTAGGCTGCACCTATATTGAATCCGTACTTCTCCCGACCCGATGTAGGACGACCATCGGACAACATCGGAAGAAAAACAAATACTAAAGTTTTGAAGTAGGTGCCTTCATTGGAAAGGGTAGTCCGATACGACGATAAACGATCACTACTGATCTGACCGACGAGTTGTCAAATCAAAATTGTTTGTTTTTAGTCCGATCTTTCATTCCGATGGAGGGGTATAATAATGAATAATAAAATTGATAAAGAGTTTTTGATAATTCTTGTGAGAGATGAACCTCGCTTGTGGGACCAGCAAAACAAGGATTACCATAATAGTGATATTGAGCCTAAACTATGGGAGGTTATTGGGGACCAATTACTGGTAAAAGGCTGATGCATGCTCTGAAGTCACACTGGCCAGTTATGCCGTTTTTTATGCCTTCAAGAATATAGTAAAATGTTTCCAGTCATACAATGCTACTCCCTGAATTTATCCGGGTAGTTTCTTATAAGTAGGGAAGTTTTGAAAAATTCCCCTTCAGATTTACCTTCATTAAACTGATGCACCCATACCTTTTCCTACGTCTCCTATAAGGAGAACATTCTTTTCTTGTTTAAGCCACCACAAAAAAGTATCTTCAGAGTCGCTCATAATAACCCCCAAAACACAACTTTAACTGTTAACCTATCGGGTCGAACCGAGTCCAGTGTAGGCAGTTACAACGGACTGCATCGGATCGCGGGGCGTCCGATGGTCGTTCTACATCGGGTCGGGAGAAATACGGATTCAATGTAGTTGCAGCCTTACAGAGACAGGCTTGTCTGGCTATATGTGGTGCCATCAGTACCAAACCATTAGAAGCCATGGAGATCCTCTAGATCTACCTCCTCTCCACACTTTTCTGGAAAGAGATACTAGATGGACTGCATATTGACTTGTGCACATTGCCAATAGCACAGATCAATCTAACGCAGAGTACATCAGACTGCTGATGATCTCTGACATTATGTCTCCAAATGTCAACTACGAACTGCCTTATAAAGTACTGTTCCCGAGTAGAGAGGACTGGAACCTTCGGTAGAAAGAAATATTAAGAGCAGATAGTTGTTGGTTCACAGCTGGATCAAAAACACCTTCAGGTTCTGGTGCAGACCCAGAACAGAGATATCAGCCTGCCTAGGGACCTATGCGACCGTATTTCAAGCGGAATTGTGTGCGGAGAGATTGGTAGAATCCAACCTCACACACAAGTCAAGTAAATTGACAAAAATGACTCTCCTCACTAGGAAGACCTAACAAATTGTCTCTGGTCTGGATTCCTGGCCAGACTGGCCTGGAAGGCAATGAGGCTGCTGACTCCCTTGCAAAGGAGGGTGCTGCAAGCAGCTTCATCAGACCAGAACCTGTCATTGGCATAGCTTTAGGTTTTGCCAAACAAACATTGAACACCTGGATGGCATGGAGATTTAAAGACTTCTGGCAAAATCTTCCAGGATTACCTCACTCCAAGGCGTTCTTTCAACCTTCGAAGCTGGAAACACAACAGTTGTTGGACCACAGTAGGGATGAAATCGATGTCTAACAGGTCTTCTAGCAGGTCACTGTCGTCTGAATCATCATTTGCAGAGACTCGGAAGACGTGTGTGTCGCAGAGCATATACTTTGTGCCTGCCTCGCTGCGGACCGAATCAGATTTTGTAGAACCACACTCTTACCATCTGACCTGAAAGATCACTCACCATATAAACTCTCTCTCCATAAAAATTCTCTTTCTTTTTTTATTATGACTTGTCGTGAAATGAAACAAAATCAATTTCGGTTTCTGCTGATGAAACAACAGACTTTTCGAAAAGTGAACAGTAGTGCTGCTGCAATGGAAGGTTCCTTCAAGGGAGTTCAAGCGTTTATCCAAAAGTCATTTCCTGAAGCTTTGTATGTTCATTGCTGTTTACATTCTTTGAATTTAGCCATATGACATTCATGCAATGTTCAACAAATTGGAGATTGTATGGGAATTGTTAAGGTAATGGACAAGTTCCTCAAGAATTCTGCTATAAGGATTAAGGCTTTGAATGACAATATCGAATGAAAGTTTCCCGAGACAAGGATTAAAATTTTGTAATCACACAAAATTCTGGAAAAGTAATCCTTTTCACAGACAGTCATCTCCACCCAATTTGTTAGGAGTTCATGTTCATTCTCACTCACTATAAGCCTTTCTGTTGTGTTCAGAGACAGGTACCCACACTCCTTTTCGTGGTTCCAATGTAGACCGACCAGCAGCTACAAGGAATCCGAAATTCTTGTTGCTAAAGATTCTCTGGGGTCCTTAGCTGACCTTAGACTTATTGTTTTTGTTGGCCTAAATATTGATTTTACGTCGTATTTCTCTAACGATCTGTACCATTTTTTACATAGGGACGGAGAGCTTTTCCCTTGACCAGCCTAGCTGGGGTTACTTAGGCGTTCTTCCTCTTGGGTCGTATGGCTCGCTCGAATTCTCCTTCGCTATACTCATTCCCGTAGAAAGCATTTTTCAGGTAACGGAGTTCCTCAGGAAGACTTTCAGGTTCACAGGTACCTCGTGCTCTCTCAACTAACGTTTAAATTACCCCTCACTTTTGTTGTGGCTGGTGGTTAGAGTTTTTGTTCAGGTACCTGAACAAAATTCAAAATTCCTGTTGCGGAATTGGCCGCGGTGGTAGTGCGCCCGACTCATGATCAGAAGACCGTGGGTTCGATTCCTGCCTCGACCAGATATTTTTCTCGAGAGAATTTATCTGGTTGAAGCTGGGACCGTGTTAGGAATGACACGTTAAAAGGTAAGACCTCGTTAGTCCTTAGCACGCACAAGTTTCTCAACTTCTGAGAGTTGTCGTTCGTATGGGGGCGATAGCTGATTAACGGAAAAACATATTTTAAACAGATAAACCTGTCTGTGTGTGTTGGTTTCCTGTATAATATGTGGCCCATCTTCCCGTCTGTTCACAAGAACAACCAAAAATGCTGAAGTGATTTCATTTTTTTGCTTGTTTTGACTGAAAACCCGTTATTTCCTTCCTTTACAAATAACTTCAGTCGTGAATAGAGAAACTATATGAACACATGTTTTGGTCTATTCGTGATGTAACTCAGTTTTTGTTTCAATGCTCTTGGTTTTGTTCTAGGTAGAACTTCAAATCAACACTCCAACTAATGTACCAGAATGGTTATTTGTGATGTTTGCAGTATGCACCACAGTTCTCGTAGCAGTTCACATATTCGCTTTGATGATATCGACATATATTCTACCCAATATAGAAGCAATAGCAAAGCTAGAAATATGCGAAATGGTTACAGAAAGTCCGCACGAACGAATGAAAGGCTTCATAGAAATTGCATGGGCGTTTTCCACAATTTTAGGTAATATACATTATTTTCTGTATAGTCCAAGTAAACGATATAGTGCAACCTACCTTCCAACAGTTTAGAAAAAACCAAGAAAGTACTTGATAAAAATAGCTGCGTAAACGCAAGCGAAACATAAGTGGAACCACCTATTGGTGTCACACCCAAGTCAACTTGCCAAGTTTTTATGTCAGTGTTGGTGGTTTGACCAATCAGCCGATAACTGCGGTAGCAGAAATTTGGGAAGCTAACCTGAAATGCCATCGGAAAACGAATCCACATGTTTCTAGAAATGATATGAAATCTAGAAAGGTTAATGCAGTCAAGCTGCAATGCAGGCTGAAACAGCTGTATACCGGTGGCTCTTATAAGTNTCCCTCGAAACCAAACTTGAGATGTAGATTCTTATATACATTGAAACATACTCTCCGTGTTTCAATATTCAAATGCATGCGAATCTTATTCACTGGTATCTCGTTTTCGGATTGTTTACCATCGCTATTGGAATCACTACACAGGAAAAAGTCTGCGTTGTTAACACACTCGTTATTACTATTAGTACTTGTCCAAGGACGCCACATTTTAAACAGATAACAAAAATTCTAAGTAATTATAACTGCACCAATATGGAATTTCAAAAATCAAATCGCGATCAGTTTCTGAACTGACATTGACAACATGAAGTGTATAAACATCCTCGCATTCTATTTGTCATCGTAACATGACTTCAAATTTAATTTTATGACTCTTCAGCCAATCATAAAACTCGGTTAGTAAAAGTTATCCAATAACCGCCATTTCTTCAGTCCACGTGGACTACATGGCAGCGGCATAATTTCTTTGTATTGGTTTTTTGGCCTTTGAGCTCGCCGATAGCTTCAACTATGCACAATACCGGTTACTACGACTATACCTACACCTTGGCAAATCTTGCTGTGCTGACATGCGCGAACGATATAGAAAAGATGGTAACTGTCTACTAGCAAATTTTCTCAGGAATTACAATTGGGAAAAGAATTTTGGCTTGACAACTACACATATATCAGTAAGGAACGGGAACCCCAATTCTTTCTTTAGTGCAGGTGGAAAATAATTGAAAGATAATGAGTGATATATAATTACAAATAATAGATACGTACATTCTCGTTACAGATAAATGAATTATGAGAAAAGCGATAATTGATGGATAATCTAATGCATACTAGTTACTAGAAATGATTATTAAAGATAGCATATAGATAATATACAAAACATAACTTGCAATATTGATAATAACATACCACTGTGTACATAGATACAATTCACATAATATGTTCGAAGAATGATTTCCTAAAGACTATAATATGGTTTATCGCCTACTGTTGATACCGTTGATACCATCTTCATCATCTAAGAAGCCATCCACATATCCCTGTTCCGATGTAAATCAATGATCAGATCATCCACCAGGCGCGCAGCCACGGGGGGGGGGGAACTAAAGGGGCTGTAGCCTCCCCCCTCAAGAATAAAATTACATTATGTTTTTGAATCCGCCAATAGAGGACGGACACATCGCATACTGAATATTGGTTTGCGGGAGTTACATTTCACAACAACTACGAAATGAATAGCTGCATTGCTGCATTCCTATTCCTATTATAAGATTAATGAAAAGTTTTTGCAGTTTGTGCCTCTAGAGTCAAAGACTGGCGAGGTACTTGGAGAAACACTGTTGAAAGCTCTTGAAGAATGCAATCTTGAAATAATAGATCTAAGAGGACAAGGATATGATGGCGTATCAGCCATGAGCGGAAAGGCCAAAGGTGCGCAGGTCCGAAGGCAGTATATTATGTACACTGCGCGTCACACAGCCTTAACTTAGCAATTACAAATGCTGCACAGGTCAGATCTATCAGAAATTGTTTTGGCACTACTGAAAAAGTATGGTCTTTTTTTAACACACCAAAGAGGCAAAATGTTCTCCAGAAAAAAATTGAAACCCTAGTACCCAAAGCTAAGAAACAAAAACTCAAACAGCTATGCCCAATCAGATGGGTTCAAAGGAATGATGCTGTCCTCGTCATGAAGGAGCTGTACCACCCAATCATTTGATCCTTAGAAGAAATCAAGTGTCAGGGGCCGATGTCCTTTTGACAGCTACTTATATGTCAGTCAGAGTACATTGTAGCTCTAGTATTTGCTGAAAAGCTACTCAGCTACACTTATACTACACCATAGTGTGTCAAAAGCTACACAGTCAAGTGATGCGGATCTCTGGGCTGCTTTGAACTATGCTGACTATGTAGTTCAAAGTCTGAAGTCACTAAGAGAAAAAGTTGGTGAAGAGTTTTCAGTCTTGTTTCAAGAGGCACAAAAATGGCCGAATTGAATGAAACTACAATTAGTGTTCCAAGGATTGTTGGGAGGCAGACACACACAGAAGCAATGTCTCAGCCGAAAGCACAGAATAATTTTATAGAATTAACGTATTCATCCCCTGGATTGAAAGTTTTATTTTCCTTATCGAATAACGTGTCTGGAAGCACAAGAACATTTTGAAAGGGTTTCACTGCTTGCTTCATACTTATCCAGAGAATAGTGAAGAAAGTAAAGACATGAAACAGGCTTTTTTGAAGTTGATTGAAGTTTATGAAGAAGATTTGGAAAACAACAGCTTAAACGTGTTGGTGGCAGAAATTCATGTTGGGCAAGCTTTTCTCCAACGAAACAAGGCGCACCACGTCAATGCAATTGATTTTCTAAATATTTGTGACAAAACAATCTTTCCAAACATCCATATTCTACTCAAGATTTTCATCACTATACCTGTATCGACCAGCACAGCAGAGCGCTCCTTTTTCACTCTTCGGAGAATCAAGACTTACCTAAGAAACACGATGTCTGAGAGTAGGCTAGCTAAATGGCTTAGCCAATCTTAATATCCACAGGGAAATTCCAGTTGACACAGACAGTGTATTATCCATACTGACGAAGACCCAAAGAGAACTCAATTTTGTTTTGCAAGACAACTGATATAAAAGGGTTTTGTCAAAATAAAACCTAAAATCTTATTTATATTCATTTGAAATGAAATCTTCTTCAAATTTCTTTGCTCTGATTTGATTTTTCGTTCCGTTCGCACGCAAACCCCTGTAGCCTCAGTTACTCGTCTTTGAACCTTCAAATTCAAAATACAATATTGGTCACAATTTCACTCATTATTACTATCACTTCTTACCTTGGCAAGGGGAGTTCTTATTCCATCTGCCGTTACTTCCGCTTGCCTAAATCTTGATACGCTGTTCACAATTTCTCTGCTTTGTCCGCTGAAACCTTGTTCTTCAGATTACTGTTCGAAGACATTTCCAAAGACAACAAATAACTTACAGTTCATCACAAAGAATGATTTCCTCACTTACTGTACTAACACGATGTTCGCTACACGAGTTCATCAATGTTAATGGGCTCTCGTCCCAGCACTTCGCCGGCTGAGCTACTGCGCATCCAATATTCAGAGGCACAACTAGATTTTCCAAACTGAACCATATGACTTCATTGTGAGGAACTGCAGAAATGTTGATAATAGTCTTGCACTCACTTGGATGTTACTTTGTTTGTTCAAAATCGGAATATGGTTTTTCAATATGGAGTTCTATTTACAATCAACATATTTTTTCTATTGAAAAAATCTAAGAAAAATTCTTGTAACTGTTAAGAATTGAAGGAACGTATCGATGAAGAGGTTCATATAACTTCGGGCTTTTGTTCAAGTTTGATTTTATGACACTAGAAAAACGTCGAAAACGAACTTCTGTATTGAATGCCCAAATCCACTGCTCCGTATTATTGTCTCTCATAAATATCTTCGTTCCTCGACTAACAACTAGAAGGGCCTGTTTTTTACTTATTATTACTTATTATTTAAAGCTCCGATAGACTTTATGTGCATCAATTTTAATGAAATATGCGACTAAAGTGACATTTGTACTTGTAATATTGAATAACTTGAGTATGCAACAAATTATTCTTTGATATTTTTTTCCAAATCTATACATTAATTTTTTCGCATTTTTTCCATATCAATATTTCCAATAATTATTGTACCTAGTGTCAACAAATTGCTTTGTAAATGGGTTTACTGTTGGGCAATACTACCTATATTATTGTTATTATTACTTGAGACTTCAGGGCGACATCTCAGAAGTTTCACAGGAAATTCTATAAAAGAAGTTGAATATTTCTAGTTCAAGAGTCAGTATAAATAATGACAAATTATAAATATGTAGAGGTTGTTTCAGAGAATCTGATGAGTCACAGTTTAATTTAAATTCCAATAATTTAATTACTATGATCTCTAAACATAAAGGAGACAACTTTCCTTAGCAAATAACGACAGATTACAACTTTATAGATTGCCATGAAGATGACGACTACTATATTACATGGTTGCCAATTCTGACATAACTACAACTACATCAGTGGCGCCCTCTTACGCCCAAAATAAATTAACTTATATTCCATCAATAATAATTAGCTTTTAATTTTTTTTCAGGTCTTTTCCTGTTCCTTATAGAAATAGCAATTCTCTGCTGGGTGAAATTTTGGGATTATTCTTTCACTGCAGCGATTGCAGCCACAGTTATCGTCATCCCGGTACTCATCACTTTTGTACTGTTTGCTGCGCATTTCTACCATTCTTTAGTAGTCTACAAGTGTGCTACCTCTATTAACGACATGGAAAAGTTGGAAGACATCAAAAAACATCTCGACGAAATAACAATTGCTAAGTAGCCGCCTATTCAGATACCAGCGAAATATTACATTTTGCCTATGTTTCATTGAAGTACAGCAAGCGCCAAACGTGATGGCGAGCCCCCATGCGCATAAACTCATTTTCAATGTAACCCCCCTACAGCTCTTGCAAGACATACAAAAGCTCTGTACAGAGGCGTTTTATTACTTGTCCTCCAATGCTGTTGGCGTTTGGCATTGTCTGAATAATTTGTATTGTTTCTGAAAAATGTCATCGCTTAACAAAAAACCAGTCATCAAAAGTGTATCAATATATAACATTTTAATGAACTGTACTACTGTATGAAGGCTATTTTCCGGGTGTTCTGGTCGTGATCTGCAGGTTTTTATGCCTGGCGTTTCGTCTACTGTTGCGGTAGACATTTTCAAAGGCGATGTGGTAACGGTCGCAATACCTAGGCTTGTGCTCTGGTTCTTGTTCCTGTTGTATCCACCGCATTAATGTACTACCCATTTATGCTTTGGATACCATAGGAACAAGAACCAGAGCACCAGCGAAACGTCAGGCATACAAACCTGCAGACCACGGCCAGAAAACCCGGAAACTAGCCTTCATACAGTTATCTCCGGCCGTGAAAGTTTACATTCTTTGATTAACTGTACTACTAGCTATAATACTGAATAAAATATGAAAAGAAATTACAAAGAAGTCATGTTCCATTTGCTACCCTAATTCGAATCTAATTACAGGTACGACACAGGCCGGCAAGGGGCTTATCGTAATCCAATAGTAATTTAGTTGGGAGAGTCTATACCTGAGCGATCGCTCGCCATCACGTTTGCCGCTTTCTATAATTTGAAAACGATAAATTTTGGGAAAGAAAGGTTTTAGCTTTCTCCTTCTCATTCTTTATACAAAAAAATGTGGGAATCTTCCGAAGAAAGTAATTAATTTCAAAATAAACTCTTTACAATGATGTGTAGATCATGCAAAGAAGTAACTTCAGACATAAACTGGAAGAAAAAGCTCTCTCGAAACAACTACTTTCATATAAACATACGTTATGGAATGGACTGTTTCGTGATTTTTGGTTTACAGTTCATTTGGTAGTAATTTCAAATTGAAAAATATTGTACTTAGTCTCAGCTCTCTAAATAGCGTTGTTTTCCCGTAATTAATTATTAAAAATCGTATTCTCTAGGCCCGTGACGTCATGAGCCTAGTCTCGCTTCTTGTTCGATTGACCAATGGGAACAATACAAGTAATGAACATTGTCAAAGTGTAAAATTCACGGAACGTATAAATAGTTTCTGATTCATTCGTGATTCAAAGTGAAATCACACTCACTTCGGACAACTAAATCTAAGAAGAAAGTGTAAGAAATGTATTGGAAGGGAGAATCAATTATACATGGGATCCAAATAAGATAAAACGCAATGAAAACGTTATTTTTGAAATATCTCCGACAGTAGACATTTTCATGTTGATATCACAGAAATTTCAATAATGGAAGTGTATATGAACCCGTTAACGTTTAAATTCATGAAAAAATTCTCCATATGAAATGAGATGTACTCGAAAACCATGGTTCTAAATAGAATTTAATGAGCAATATTTTTGAATGGTTCTCGAAGGCTCATGAACCCTAATAAGATAAATCAATTATGCATTCATGCACCCACCAAAAATAAGAAATTCAACGTTATATATTAGCCATATTTCCACCCAGTCAGCTATCTTTCTTCAATGTATGAGACAATGTACTCTTTCTAATGTTTCATAACTTCGTATTAAATGATTGGCACTTGGCAACACCGCTGTAGACACGATCAATTTTATTGGTCAACAGACACGCGACCAATTTAAATTCTTGCTTTTCGAATTGTTCTTTTTTCTGCAAATATAAAGAGGTATTGGGACCGATTAGGCTCGATAAATATAATATACACCTAACTCGATCAGTCTATAAGCAAACCAGTATCATGTTCAATAGCATGGAACAAGCCCATTGAATCAGATATCATTCACAGGATTGCTACACAATTTAGTATACGAGAGAGGTATAAAATTTCGCTTACATGAAACTATGTCATCATCAATGGCGGACATCCGATGTTTCGGAATGAGACACCTCCCTTATTTCCACTTCAGCATCAATCTGGATAACTTCTCTGGTAGACCTACACGTTTGTGAAGAGTTCATTTTGAGTTTAATTGCTTTCTTTCTTTCTTTGGAAGATTACCATATTTTTTGTATAAAAATAGATGAGTAGAAAACCAAAACCTTTCTTTCCCAATTCATTGAACTAATATAAGTATGAGAATAAATAGTAATTTTAAAAATGAAATCTAATCAGTTTCCTAAAACGATTGATGTGATTTGTATAACTTGAAATAAAATTCAAGTTAGTGATAGTAGAGAATAGTTGAAATGCATCCCGGATTCAAAACTATCTACCTATCAATAGGGTTTAAGTAGTATTACATACGTTGAATTTTGGCTTTTTCTGAAAAAGCTTTATAAGTAATTATTGCCATAAGCTGCAAGGCAGGCAACTATTGATTAATGTTTTAGGATATAACGCAATTGTACAATTGTTCAGTATTTTCTTATGAAAAATATATGTATATCTTGATTGTTTTGAATTTCGTCTCTTTCTTCAGTCTTATCCCTTCCCTATTATCAATTACTATTAATTGAAAGAATCCTTAACCAACTAGAAATACTATACAACAAAAAAATATCATTTTGATATATCTCTAAAATCAAATAACTGCAATAATTCAAAAAACAAATATTTGAAATGTTTATCATTCACTCCCTGACAATAATGAAGGCTTTTTACTATTTTTTTTTCTATACTATGAAATGTTCTTGGTGTAACATAATTGCAAACACCTCTTTTTCTATCCACGAGTTCAAAAATGATGTTACGTATTCTCTCTAAAACATCTGTAGGCGTCAGACCAGGTGATCTAGAGGGGGCTGTTATAAGATACCACGTTTTCCTGTCAACTGGTTTCGAAAATTATCAAACTTGAATGACTTTTCTACTAATAAATAATATTAGGTCATTTATTACGATCAGCTGGTTTGAAAGTGACTAGAAAACAATTACCCAAACCAGTAGAGTGGTAGGCATGGTCCCTTAGAATGACCCGCTGCGTTACCTGATATGACACTCTTAGATTTTTGTGAGGATTGGTGAAATCTAAAGTCTATGTTACAAAACCGCAGTCTAGACAGAACTCAAGGTTAGAATAAATATAGTTTAAAAAACTAAAAAACACGCTTTCAAAGAACATCGAACTAAAAAGTTAAAACTATTTTTTTTAACAAGCTTAAAGCTTAGTTTATTATTAGTACCTATGTATTATGTATTACCAGTTAAATAGTAAAATAAATACATATAATGATAAATCAACTGTGGATTATTTCATTTACGTTGCGTTACGTGGCTTCCGTGTGGGTAGCTCGCTGTTTATTCCAAAATTAACAAAGTAGCTCAACACATTGAAGAGGTTGGCGACCACTGCCCTAGAGGGAGCCTGAAAATTAGTTACCAAGACCAAGGCAGCAGGCGTGCAAAGGAGGGTTACAAATAAGGCAGCAGGCGCGCGTGTAAATAAAAAAAATACTTTTTTCAAATGAAGAAAGACATGTAAAGTGAGTTCGAATTACATCAAGGAGGATACGTACAGCGCCATCTGCCCGCGAATAGATCAAGCAATAATGTCGATATATCAAGGTTCCGTACAGCGCCCGCGTATCTGCCCGCGAATAGATCAAGCAATAATGTCGATATATTAGGAGGTTATGTACAGCGCCATCTACCCGCGAATAGATCAAGAAATAATGTCGATATATCAAGAACGTTACGTACAGCGCCATCTGCCTGCGATTATATTGAGCAATAATGTCGATAATTCTGTCAAATACAGATCCCGAGCTTGAGAATTACAAACAAACATACATATATGCAAGTGAAGCTAATGAAAGCGTGTTAATTAATAAAATATACTTTCTTCAAATGAAGAAATACATGTAAAGTGAGTTCGAATTATATCAAGGAGGTTACATACATACATTCATACAGGTGAAGCTAATAAAAGCGTGTTAAAAAAATATAAGGGGCTCCTCTCGATGGCAAGTGATGCACAGCAAATGATACCTTTTTACGTAATTTTTTTTCGACTTTTGATATCATGTTCCATTCAAAAATTGAAAGGGGAAACCAATTCAATGACAAGTTGGATAAATAAGTAAACAAAATTATGAATTACCGTTCGTGACATGAACACAATTCGAATCAATTTCTACTACAACCCTTTTTGATATAATTTTTTGACTTTTTCAACTAAATATTCCAAGTCTGATTTACTTACATTTTACAAAGTATTCACGTTGTCTGTTTATTTGGTCTTAGCTTAGGTGAATGGAATCTGCAAAGAATAGATTTTGAGATTCAATGATGTTTCAGAATTGATTCATATTACTTTGGGTTTAATATCTATTACATTTCTTGATTAAATAGCGATTTAAAGCAGTGTGTATGAAAAGATACCTATTCATTTTACTATTATGGAAACTGAGAATTATACTATTGTCAGATAAGTTTTATTGATATATCTGTTTAAACTTTGGGAAATGAAACACTCCAAAAAAATTGTAAGTAACAATGAACCCTCTAGAAAAATGTCTCAAAGAATACTGTCGAAAGCTAATGTATATTTAAGAAGGAAACCAAAAGCAATAGTAGACATTTTTATTTTGTTTACCAATTAAAATTATATTCTTATTGGACTTTTCTATTTGATAAAGAGGTTTCCTTTTGCTAGGAATTACACATCAATAGATAAGACCTTAGTTCACACAAGTTTTGACTTCTGAGGGTTGTGGTTCAGGATTATTGGAAAACCCCATTTCAAATATTTTTTTTTCAGAAAAAGAAATCATTATCAACTATGAAGATGTAATATTTGCATAACTGGAAGAAAACAGAAAGCATTGGTGTATATATTTTTATATTTTCTGTATAAAAGTCTAAAATAATTTTCAACGTCAATAAAATAGCTCTCAATATAATTCCTTAATCTAGTGCGACTTTAAAATTATAATTAGGTTTGATATTAATGTATTATGAAATATGTTGTGGAACTGTAGATGATGCCCATCATGCATCTCTTTATTTCAAGCGAGTTTGAAAAAGTTCTGTTCAAACATACCAAAGGTGAATATATGTTTTAGATAGCAAATTGGGCTATTTTCTATCATATGATAGAATGTGAATTATTTTTTCTATTAGTAATCATAAATATATATATATCACATTCTACAGGAATTATGCAAGAAATTATGCAAGAACAAAACTCAGCACACAGGTTGTTATGGATTATTAGAAAAATAATCTACTGCTTCTTGGTCGAGTAATGGGTCCTTGCTTTTTCTGCATCTCCATAATTTCTTGCTGTAATTTTTTTTCTTGTTTCTGTATTTTTTCCAGTTCCATCTCAATCTCTTTCATTTTCAAATTCTCTTGCTGCTTCTTTCTCGCATTTCTCACCTTGATATCATCCTCTCTTACCTTTCGAGTCTCAATTTGCCTCTGTTTTTCTTCTTTGTTCAACTCTTCCAGTTCTCTATCATATTCCTCAATTTTTCGAGCCATTTCTTCACGTTCAGCTAAAAGCTGTGTTTGTTCTTCTTTATTTTTTCTTATGTTTTCCTCAATTTGTTGTTGGATTGTCTCCATCACTTGCTTGACCAAATTTTTCCTGGCGAGCTCTTCTTGTCGCCAAATTTGTGTTTGTTGTTCATACACTGCTTTCGCTTCAGAATCAAACAGAAAATCCAAATATTTTTGCCTCTGCCTTTCTAATGCTTGTTGTTCTTTAACGACACTCAAAAATTCTGATAAACCCTCTTTGATTTCTTTTCTTTTCTGTTCTTCTGTGACGATTGTTTCCAACTCTATCTCTTTCAATCTTGCTATCAGTGATTTTTCTTGTTCTAAATTCTCCTGTATGTCGTGAGCTTTTTGTTTCAGCTTCAGTTTATGCTGTTTTATGTTGAACAAAGCACATTCTTTTTCTCTCCGGAGTCTTTCTTCCAGAATCCGTTTTTCTTCAATCTCTGCTATCAACATTCTGTTCTTAGTTTCTTCAGCTTCCTTCTTCCTAAGATTTTCACTGACTTGTTGCCTTTTTCTCAATTCTTCCATTTGTTGTTCCAAACACCTTCTTAGTTGCTGCCTTTTCTCTTCGGCATACTTAGTGAATTGTTCCTCCTTTTCTTTCTCAATTTTGAGTTTCTCCTCATTTTCCTTCAAAATTCGTCTTGTTTCTTCCTCCTCTTTCTCTTTCTGCATCCTTTTTTCTATTTGTTGGTCCAACCAACTAAGTTTCAGGTCCCTGCAACCATATTTTATTTCATACTGTCGAACTAAGGGATTATTTTTTCTCCATTGATGATAGAGTTTCAGTTCAGCTTCTCGTCTTCTTCTATTTTCTTCCTGAACTTTCAGACCTACATTAACCTCCTTTAGTACTGTCAGTGGAATATCATCCATTTTACTGGTAGATGGTTTATCGATCAAGTTTCTATTCTTATGAACCATCAGTTCAATGTCATACGTTTTCTGTTCCTCTTCCAGCAATTTCCTCAATTTTTCTTTTCTTTTAACAAGAAATTCTTCTTTATCTCTCTTCGTTTTTATTTCTGACATGAGTTTATTGTTGTCCTCGTAATACCGAGGAGATGTCCACGAATGAAATTTTGAATTGGCCTTGTCCCAGTGTTCGAAGTATTTTGCAGTACCACTCCACATCTTCTCGTAGTTGAATTCTCTCTCCCGACGTCTTATTATATCGTTTTCCACATGTATTCGGTGTTTTCCTCTCCCTTTTGGTTTCTCCATCTAAAAATATTTTGCACAAAATTAAACATTTACTTATGGGGAGTTCTATACAAAGATTCATTTTAATATTAGGTTGTCTCAAAAGTTTTTTCCAATTCAATGTCATGTGTTTTTTAGCTCCATGTCTCAATAAATAATTATTCTACTGTTGATGATTTTCAATGAATAAAAAAACAAACAGCTTTGTGTAAATAATGATCAACAGTGTCAATTTCTATATGATACTGAGTGATGGATGACATCACATAAAATCATTTCAAGGCTTACCAAAGTTGTTGACTCAAAATTGGATAGCAACAGGTATTAATAATGATATTGACGATTCATGACTCCACAGTTTTGCAAGGATGTTGATGGAAAAGTCATTTTATTTTTCAGCTCTTCAGATATAAATATTATTCATTCACAACATCATCAAGACATGATGATCACCAATATAAATATTGCTGAATTCAGTTGCATATACATAACACGAAAAAAATAGAATAGGCCATCCACAAAGCTGTTATTTTTATTTAACTGAACTAACGTTTAGAATAAACAGAAAATAGTCTGAATAACAAATTATAACCTAGAACCTAGAGTGTGAAGTTCGCCGGTGAAAGAAACATCTACGGGTGATCTACAATTTGCACAAAAAATAATCCCTGATATTTTAATTTTCCTCCTCTGTAAGAATCCCATTTTTTATAACTTTCTGTTTCACTGATTACGAAATTCAAGAATAGAAGGTTAAAACCGTAGTTTCTTTTGAATGCAAAACGCAACTTGAAAGTCTAAAATGTGCAAAATATTTTTAGATAGATGAATCGAAGGTTGACAAAGCTTATAAGAGCAAAAAAAAATGTTCAAGAAAATAAAAATACAACAAAGAATACAAACAAATATTACAATAATTCAAGAAGCCTGCATGTGATATTTAAATGGAGGTTGTTTTGTTACCTTGTAGTTGAATATGTTTTCTGTAGAACAATTTGGATTGAGTCGTCAAGAACTTAAATATTTCCTGAGAATTGTTTTGCTTTGATTTGAAAATTAAAATCAGTTCGAAATTTTTGACGTTTGACTTGATTGACAGATGACAGGTTGACATCGGACACATAACACAAATTACAGAAAAAATGAGGAAAAAAGAATATTCTCGTTTTTTGAGGGGAATTCATAGAACTTCCTCAATTCCAATTTTTCACGAGGAGGTCGTTTCAATTGTCAAACCTGAAGTATGCAGTAGCTTTAACAGATGATTTTTATCATCTTTGTAGATCGTGAGGTGGAAATATGCTAAATTTTTTCTATTGTTATGGTTGTAGTCGGATTTTTCTGTTTCTTTATGAGAGCGCTACCAGTGCTCTAGAGTTTGTGGAAAGTTATTCAAACTTGAAGGTCAAGGGATGATGACATTCCTCGTAACAGAGACACTATCAATGGGATCGACAGAAGACTCGATCCACGATTGTAGAAGAGGGATGAGGCTCCGCTAGGCGATCTACTGCTTTTGGTCATCGACTGCCTAAAGTGATTCGTCCTCTATCTTCCACTGTAGGTTTCACTATGAGATAATCAGATGAAACTGGAGCCCAAAAACAAGGCATTTGTGAGAGACAGCGTTTTTTAGACCTGCAAAGGTCTTTGAAAATCGTAGAATTTGTATTCAGTCCATCCCATAGATGGCGTTTTCGTAAGGGAGATGTCATCGCCTCCACTTTCTTAGGCTTATCCTTCAATAAATATTACTGGAGTTTTATCCCAACACCAAACCGTTATTTTCAACACCTTCAATAACAGTTGAGTTCAGCCATGCAGTCGTTGCTGAACTCAACGTTGCACTACTGATGGATGCTTGGTGAAGCGAAACAGTCTGTTTCGAATGGAGAATTATTTGTTTTTGAGTTCTGTTTCCATGTAGTTGCTTTGCAGTGGAAAGTACAACAAATGACAGAGGATAATCGTCATTTGGTTATCGATAACAAAGCTTAACTTTGCGGCAGATCTCCTTGGAGAGCCTCATTTCATTCATCTTTGATGGTCAATTAAATTGAGATATAACAGTTCAAAATAATCCCATAAAAATGGACGAGCTTTTGAAACAACCTTCACGCGCCATCGTCATGTCAAGCACTGAGACAGCACAACTTCAAAAAGTTCGTACTGAAAAATATGCGCTGAGTGCAATTCTCATTTACTTAACTCCTTTTCCGATGCAACATGTGAATTTAATATTTCAATAATAATAAGACAGTCATATTCCATACTTTTTAATATATGCAGAAAAATACATATTACAGGATTGAATGGATTACTTGAAATATTATGTGTTCTTAGACTTGAAAATATTTATGAATCATAGCTAATGGTTATTTATTGAAGCCATTTTATTGTCTCTGATTGTTTTACAAACTGCTGCAATTGATGTAATCATTCTTAAAACCTGAAAAAAATGTTATTCAAAATTTTTTAAGAAACTTAAGATACGTATCAATTCAGTAGAAAATGAAAACTCATCTTGGGAGTAATATTGAAAATTTATAGAATATGGCATAACTTCAATTGTGCTGAAGAGAGTAGTGAGTATTAGTTCAATTATAGAGTGATTCGTAGGAACGTAACCACTTTAATTTCTGTGAGACCTTCACGCTTGAGAAAGCAGGAGACGTGTTGCGGTTTTGTAAACTGTCCAGCGGAAATCTCACGATGGAGTGTTATTTAAATACCTTATGTATTTTCATCGAGTATAAACCAATTACATCACACACTTTCAGTGTCATCAAGAAATTAATTATATTATATTCTCAATTTTAACCTCATAGCAACACCTACTCGACTTCATAGTGTGTGATATAATGTATATTGTTGTACGTGTATATATCTAATTATAAACGACTGAGCAAACATTCCAAGAATTAAATATATTCAAAAGTGCCTTATCTAACAACTCACACGTTGAACACCTGGAATTCAAAACTAGAAACTTTTTGTCACAGACTGATCTCAAAGATCTCAACTTTTGAAATCAACAAACGTGAAGCTTGACTTCAAAGCTTGAACAGGGTTTTCCGTTAATACTCGAAATTATACGTGTTCTACGAAACAAGTTTATGACCCCTTTTAGTACAACCAACATATTTTTATCGCATAGAATATTTAATAACTCCCAGACGTTTTAGTTTCCATTATCTTGCCCTCAAAGTTATCTCAAGCAGTTATGAACAACCATTTTTACCAATCTTCAAATATTTTCCGTTACACCTTACCGACATTACCTTAATAAATTCGAAAGGGAGAACTTGACAGACTGGCTGCAACAAATATACTAATACCTAGCGAACACAATTGAAGGGTATGGTACAGTACACATTTGTTTGTATTATAAAATATCTGTCAATCCATTTTTATTAAAGATAAATGTCCAATTCGTAGAATTGTCGCTATATATCCAAACAGGTCTCAAGAATTAATTTGAGCTATGCTTATCAGCAGATATAACTTGAGAATCAATCAGTTAAAATAACTATCATATCAATTCATACATTTTTTGTACTAGATTACCTAACAGAGTCAAGAGTTGTGCTTTAGGGCAGTTTCAAAGGATAATGGATTAAAACTGAAAAATTTCTCCATTCAAATGTCAAGAATCTAAATGTATCAGGTATTTTACATGATTGAACTTTGACATTCAAAATTATAAAAAGTGTACGTCCTTTTTAGATTCAGTTTTTTGCCGTCGGACGCATATTAGTCCATAAAATATGTAGACCGCGGAAAGAAAGGATTTTAAAGATAGAGACATGTGCATATAGAAATCACATCAAGTGTGAAGTCTCCTCTACAACTTCAATTTCATCATAGCGTCTACTACTTGTGGTTTGTTCAGTGTTAGTAAGTGCAGTATATTTAACGATGGTAGATAGGTACTATGTTTTCCCGTCTGTGGCCATGTTTCCATGAAATCTTTGGACTTATTCAGGAATTGATAGCATTGGACCCAGGAAAAACAAAATTCATTTGAAGTTGAAAATATATTTCAGGCTAGTTGATTTCGCACGGGTAGAAAAACAATTTTTCGCTCATAGTTCAACATGAACTTGTAACTAATACTAGTGAGGCGGCCTGAATTCATTTTCTCGCGTGTTAGTTTTAATTTTGCAATAACTTGAATTGTTTGGTTTAAAGAGCAATTATAAATGTACATGACGTGTTTGACCCTGAATATTCATTTATTTTATTTTGGCTCTTATTGAAAATTCACTTACTTTAATAATTGTTACTCGTTTGATGATAACACTCTTTACTGGTGAAATATTCAATGATGGCTGAGTGGTCTGAATCATATAATTCAGAAGGATCTTCTGATTTTTCAAATTCCAGGAATACCATGGTATATTTTTCAATTGATCATATATGGCTTCAGTCTGAAAAGTAAAAATTAAACATCGTTGATATAGATAAAGTATGTAAAAATTCCAATGATCGATTTTACCGCATCGGATATTATCTGTCCAGTTTCGCAAAACAACCAGATCTGTATACCTATTGTTGAAGATATTGAAAGTAGGAGGTAAATATTCATATTTGGAGTCTGAAAAAGAATTTATCAAAAACACTGTTACTGATTAATGAATTGATTTTGCAGTATGTTCAGCAAAGAAATGATAAGAACCATAAATTGTACAAGTGATTGTGGATACAAAAGTTGATTTTACTCGCATTTCTTTTAACGTTTACGAAAAAAAAAGACTCGAATTTGAATAGCCATCATATAAATTTACCCGAAATGTAATTTTCCAACGTGCTAGGGATCCTAAAAGCTAAAACCTTATTAGTCCTCGAATCGCACAATTTTCGTCTTTTAGTTTCATGTTCTATCTTTGGGAACAACAGCTGCTAAGATAATAACGAAAAAATTATCCCATGGTACATATCTGTGATTTTAGATTGGATAAAACAATTTATATAGAATTTTTTGATTCATACTTACGAAGAAGAAGTAGAGGAACATTCCAAATGAAGTAGCTGGCAAATTAAGCAAATTAATCAAACAGGGTACTGTTTGTAAATCTTTCAATTTATCAGTCAGGATTCTGAAATGAAAAAACTCTCAGTAATTTGTCGCCAAGAAGGTTACGTGCTCATTTCCAATAAAAATTATTATTAGACTTGTGCTTAAAAGAACGCAGTTAAGTTGATTGTTTTATTGGTTGCATAACCCCAAAGTAAAATTTTATATCGACGCTTTAATTGGACAACACAGTCTGTTTACTTATGTACTGTGACACAGTACAGTAACATTCTTTACGAATACCAGACAGGCGACAGCTGGTCAACGAATGAATATATTTTGAAATGATTTTTTGGAATTTGGCATTACACAAGAAGCCTGAGACGACATAATAGCTCTTATTCGAAATTTTGCAAAATTTCAAAATGAACCATATCCCCTCAAAATATTTCTAACATACAATATGATTTCTCGTTATTGCTCTTTCATGACAATTTTCAATTTCGTTATATCTTTCTCTTGTACGAGTTCAATTCAAAATGATATCTACCTATCATATTACTGTCAGTGTTGTGCTCGAAAAAAAAAGTTGTAACAGATCATATCGAAATAAGTAACATTTGATAGATATTTGTATCTTTCAAATGAGTCGTACACAAAGTGAAACATTTCGCACCAGAGGTTGGCAACTGTCGTTCATGTATCTTCAAAAGTTATAGTTGACGTATCAAAATTGACAGGAGACGTGTGCAAATGCACATCATCATCAGATTTGAAACGTCAACTCCACAGAACTCATACCTCACCTCAGAGTAACTCTGGATATCTCACATAAGATATAATTATGAGTTCTGTGGCATACTCTCAGTTATGATATGTCACTTGTCAGTATTGATGCGTTTATTGCCAGTTCAGGTATCAGACGAGAGTTTCCCAAAATTTAACAAAATGGGTAAAAACGTAACTTAATGATTTTTTAACGTCAAAAAGTGATTTGTTACAAAAGTTACAAACTCGGTTTGACATTCGATTGTACAACGGATTGAAAGTTTTAAACCAGGCTCTGACTAGAGTAAGGTTTGAATGCTCCTGGACTTAAAGTTATCTTGTACAACTGGGCCTTAATGAAATTGTCACAATTAAATACGATAACTTTAATACTCATAACTTCTGGTGTCAAATGTAATTTGTAAACAATGAAGGGCGAGCGCAAGCCCATCAAGGTTTGAAAATGTATCTGCGAAATTTAGTTTGTAGTTGAAAGTAATAGCTATACCAGGCAGATGCGATCCATTAAACTTCAAAAAGAAAGTAGATCTATGTGTTATGAAACGTTATAACACAACTGAGGTGAAACAGAAATGGTTAGGATCTTACTTTTTCCACAACAAAAAATGATTCATATACAGCGTTATCCTCCTGAAAATTTCTTCTTGGGCTTCTTTTTCGTAGGGTAATTTCGTGGTTGGTTCCAGGTTAACAGATTGATGAATTTCCGATATCTTTTCATTGACCATATGTATTTGGAAAGTTGCTGATAAACAAAAGAAAAGCAACAAAAAGGACTGTTGAGTCGAGCAGAATGTTAGTATGAACAATGTGTATCTGTAGATCGGAATAAGGACGCCAGCGAATTCAGGTAACAGTTTACTGAAATAGTCCTCGCCGAATTCATCATTTTCATTCCACAGAGAAGATAAGAAAATGAAACCAACGGATATAAATTGTTGCGGCAACATTATATATTTGACCGTAGACGATATTTGGTTGAGTTTTCTTTGAAGTTTTTCGCTTGCTGAGCTCAGAGACCAACCACATTCAGCTCTCTTCTCGATAATATCTTCCACTAATTTGTAATTCCACAGCAAGACTGGGCAACAGGTCACCGGCTTAAATAAAAAATAATAATTCAAGAATTCATGATAGCGCAGATGAGTCATCTGCAAAAATGTTGAGATACATCTAAGTTTGCATCAAGGAAGCAACGTTTTGGCATACAGTATACATATGTTGAATTCATTCCCCAACACTCGAAATTTCGACTTTAGTTCAGAAATTTTTACTTCGAACTCGAAATTCTTTACTTCAATTTCGAAATCTCGACTTTAACCTTGAAATTTCGAATTCAAAGTCAAAACTTCTAGATTTAAGTCTAAACGAGTTCAAAGTCTTAATTTTGGATTAGAATTTTCAAACAGATGACTGAAAAAATACGTCGAAGTCGAAAATGAGACTTCAAATTTGAAATTTAAGATTTCAATTCATGAACAAACGATTGATAAAATACACATTCTATTACGCTTTCCAAATATCCACCTGAGCGTTCCATGGTTTCGAAACCATTGAAATTGAAAAAGTTCATGTAAATATAGATACTGGGTGTTTCATCGAAAACAGTTTACCTTCATATTCTTTGTAAATAAAATTTTGTTGCTAAAAACAACAAGAGATCAAGACATACATTGTGCCTTCCTAAATACGTCACTCTACTTCCAGAACCACCTCATATTTTTTAAAGAAAAAGGGGTCAATACTTCGATTGTAACTTGTTTTGACTCACTGTAGGACTTTGTTTTCACTTTGGTATTTTATAGATATTAGATTGTTTTATAGGTTGTTCACGTTAAGAAGAGAATGACGTCACAAGATGACAGGTTGCGGCGTTGCCAACATGTGCACTATTTCATACTTTCAATTTTTTTGGTACTGTTGATATGTTTTATTGCTATTATCCTTAGTAACTTTCAGTATTTGTTGGGACTATTTCGACAATGCTTTAGGCATATTGAATATACGCAGGTCTTATCAAAAGAAATGATTAGTTCTGAAAAGAAAAGAAAGACTGACAGTTTTCGAGTTATTTTCGATTCGGTAACGTCTGAAATTTTACTATCAATTGAGCAACTTACAAAATGAAATGTTACTAGTTTCATTGCTGTTGAACGCATTTCAGTGGGAATTTTAACGTTGTTATGTTGGATATACAAAATCACCAAAAATGACGTCATTCTCTTCTTAACGTGAACAGCCTATATAAGTTTTATCCTTTTTTTTGAGTCTACTTTGAACAGTAATATTTCAGAGACTATACGTTCAGTTTGATCGAAATAAGCGCCATTTAAATCAGTGCACTTTTGCCAACGTAACACAAGTCGAATAATTCCGCCAGCATAAAAATTGTGTGCTCGGGATTCAATGAAGTCGATGAAGGCCGTTTTTGCCTGCTCCTGATTGGCGAAGGTTCTACAGGTGAGAAAGTTATCGAAGTGATTGAAAAGGTGGTAGTCGGTTGGCGACGCTCAATTCGTTCAATTTTCGGAGGGTGAATTGTGAAAAGTGCGGACGGGCGTTGTCGTAGAGCAGGATCGGACCTCTTCTGTTGACCAGTGCCGGCTACTGCTGACACAATTTTCTGAATTTTCGGTTGCCCGGTTGCAGAAAGTTATAGTGAATCACATCAGCCGCTGACCACCGTTCGGTAACCATGGTCTTTTTTTGGTGAGCTTTCGCCTTTGGGAACTACCTGGGTAGCTCATCGGTTTCCAACGACTTTTTCAAATACAAAACACAGGCACCTTTCTTCGAAGTTCCAGATTATCAGGATATGCTTAGGGGCGAAGCTCCATACATGAGAATAATACTCCAAAGAAGGTTTGATCTCAGCTTTACAAACCATCAAAAGTTGCTGAGGTGTGTACGATGCCTGGGTTTTTGTGGTATTGAATTGAACCTGGTTAGCTTCACCACAATTGGATATCACTTCTAGATCATCTTTAAAATATGCTACTGCCGGTGAAGATGTGCATCTACGGCCGATGTCGTGGAATCGAAATGGAATGACGAGACATGTGTGCTGTCGTCAGCAAAGCAATATATTTGATTCTTGGTGTTTTCCAATAAGTCGTTGATATATTATAAAGAGAGGGTTGTAGACAATATTGATTCCTGGAGAACACCAGCGGTGATGGTAAAAGAACTCGAGAGATATTCATCGACGGCTACTCGCAGTGAACCTTCTTTCAGGAAGCTGGAGAGCCATACACAAAAATGATCTGACAAGCCATAGCATCGATGTTTAACAAGCAAACCGTCATGCCACACACGGTCAAAGGCCTTATAAATGTCAAGCGCAACAGCTCTTGACTCTCCATTTTTCTTGATTGCGTTATTCCAAATATGGGTAACATACGATAGAAGGTCGCTTGTTGATCTTTGACCCGGTAAATGCAATTCTTGGAATCGCAGTCCGCGTTTGTTGGTCTGGTTTTCGTGAGGCTGCTTCGGATAGTGTTCCCAGATCTGAAACAGGTTCTGATGTTATTTTTGGACCCAATCCTTCTTACCCTTTCCGACAATCCCCCGATGTAGGGAAGGACAAGTACTGGTTGTGGTGGCTTCTCTTCCTTGTGGAGTTCTTGCTGTCTTCTAGCTAAAGCCTGTTCCACCATCACTTTGGACTAACCATTCCGTTGAAGGTTATTTTTGATGATACCTAGTTCCTTCTCGGGACTTTCCTTTGTATTACAGAGCCTGAAAGCACGGTCTAGAAGAGTCTTGATAATTCCTCTATTATATAGTCGATTGATAATGGTTTGATTCCTGGTTCAGATACTCATCTGTATTAGTGGGTTTTCGATATACAGATGTTTTCCATTTATATCATATTAGACAATGGAAGTCCGAACTAATGAGATGCATTTTATGTGGCACCTGCAAATACATTTAGACACGGAAAGGTAATAATAATATTCAACCTGAATACATTTATTTGTATCAATTTTGTGAAATATAAAAAAAAATAAAAGACACAATTCGTTAACATAGATATTAATAATTAACAATTGAAAAAACCTTAGTTAAGGCTTTCGCGGCCGATATTTTCAGTGGTACTATTTTCTTTCGGGTTTGAAGGGAATGCAGTTCCAAACTATGAATGAAATTGGTAACACTGAATTGAAAAAACAGTTTCACATGAAATGAAATACTCACTATTGCACTCAGTAAGAATCCGGGACCATATTTTACTGTAAATTCCATTTGGAACGTCTCCAGTATGGAGTAGAACTTGACTAACCACATTGCTAGTTGGAAAACTGTCATCATCCATAGGAGTAGTTTCAAGTATACGTTACCCAACAGGATATTCCAAATCTGGGGTAATATTTTCAAGGGATCTGTAACGGTAAAGAGGATTGAATTGTGAAGTTTCAAGCATGAGGTTTGTTCAAAAACTTAGGAGAAAGTTCAAATGAATAATGTTTATAAACACAAGCGTAAACTACGCTTGAGGAAGCTATTACATAGCGAAACACGTGTCGCGGTTTTTGTGAAACCCTTTATAGTGAAAATCATAACTGTATTAATTAGTTTTTATACCTTTGGAATAAAAAGCAAAAAGTCAAATAGAATCTTATTTTGCCGAAAATAAGAAGTTTGCCCAAACATTTTGGTCCTTCGAGTTTTGGAAGGAAATCGTCGATTGCTGTCAAATTCGTAAAATCCCAATTGAAGTATGTCACGAGAAGAAGGTGCTGTTCGAAGAACTAGCAAAGCCACTCCTGTAATCCTGCCGTCAAAATATACGCCAAATGAATCAGTTGTGTCATCAAAATCTACTAAGTCATGTAGCTCAACTGCAAGTAAATTGAAAACATTGAAATTGAAGAAGTTGCAGGCTGAAAATCAACTACAGAAAGAATTAGAAGATAGGCAATTAAAATTGGAACAACAAAAATCAGAACATTTAGAACGTGAAACTGAAAGAAAGCATGGAGATTCAAACGTCTATAGAAGCAGAAAAATCTTCAAAAAGCATTGAAAGTAGTAGTGAGCAAAGTGAAAGTGTGGAAAGTAGCATACATAAAAAAAGCATTGAAAGAAGTAGCAAAATGAATTCTGTTCGACACGCCAAGTTATCAGATATTTCAATGGACAATACTCATGGCAAAGTTGTTGACTGGTTATTGGAAAATAGTTTTCCATATTCAAAGCAGTCAAACCCAGGAACCGAAAAATTAATGAATGAACCTATCACAACATATCAGTTAATGAAAGAATTCACTTTATCGATGACAGATGCATTCAAATCAGTAACCAAACAGAATCAAATCCATAATGAATCTTCTAAGGTATCCTGCAGGAATGTTGTGGGGAAAGAACTTCCTTATTTCTCCGGCAATGTTGAGGATTGGCCGATGTTTATTTCTCTATATCAACGATCCACTGAAACATGTGCTTACTCTGATGAAGAAAATTTGCTACGCTTACAAAAAGCCCATATAAATGAAGCTTTAGATGCAGTGAAGCCACTATTTGTCTCTCCAGATAATCTCAAAGACTTACTTAAGACGTTAGAGGCTAGATTTGGACGACCTGAATTCATAATGGAATCCATGATGAACAAAGTGAAATTATTACCACCCGTGAACACTCGTTCTCCAATATTCTTTATAAAATTTGCCAATTCGGTTCTTAACCTTACTGTCACCGCAAAATCGTTGAAAATGGAGACATATATCAACAATAGCCAACTTCTCAGTCAGCTCATTCATAAATTGCCAGAACACCTTCAGTTCCAGTGGGCAAGAATAATTGTCAAGAAATACAAAGACATACCTACACCATCGTTGAAAGAGTTTTCAGAGTGGTTACAAGCACCTGCATCAACAGTCCCGTATATGGACAAGAAAAATAAAACGAACGTTTTCATTGGAACAGAACATTCATCAATGGAAAAGTATTGCCGATTTTGCTCTAAATCTACTCATTTCATATACAAATGCGACCATTTCCTGCGTCTCGACACTAACAAGAGATGCGAATGGGTGAAAGAAAAAAGGTTTGCTTTTCTTGCCTCAATTCATCTCATCGTACTTTCAAATGTAAAAATCGAAGACGTTGTGGTCTGCAGAAATGCGAAAAATACCATAATCGCTTACTCCACCCGAATAATGTTGTAAATCCAAACCAATTGCAGGGATACAACTTGCAAACTCAGTTAGCCGATTCCAATATCACAGCTGTGAGAAGAAAGAAGAGGAAACACAGAATCCAGATTGTTTTAATAATGAGCATTTTCTTCAGATTCAAACCGAATATACAACTGTTTTACTTCGAATAGTTCCGGTCACTGTCATCGGCCCCAAAAAGTCGATGAAAACATATGCACTCTTTGATGAAGGAAGCACGGTTACTTTGATGGACTCCAACCTTGCCGAGGAGATAGGAGTGGATGGTGTAAATGATCCATTGAAAATGTATTGGACCAATTGTACTTCCTATACCAATCGAAACGTGTCAATTTGAAAATTCAGGGAACGCTCAATCAGGAAATTTTTTACATGTCAAACGTAAGAACAGTTTCAAATTTGAAACTTCCTGTTCAATCTGTAGATGTCAAAAATTTAGCGACGACTTGGAATCATCTGTCAAGAATTCCATTGGTCAATCTCAGAAATGCAAAACCGCTGATTCTGATTGACCAGGACCACATCGATTTAACAATAGTCAGAGATGTTATACAGGGGCCTCCCAATGCACCTGTTATTTCAAAATCCAAATTAGGATGGATGGTTCATAGAAACTCATCATATTTCAAACATCGAGTCGACTCTCACTATTCTATGACATGTTATATGAAAAATTATGTTTTTGAAGATGACGAATTGAAAGAACTAATGAATGAAATTATTCTGATGGATAATTTGGGAGTTGAAAATGACAAATTCAATCATATTTTAGAAGAAGACATGGAAGAAACATGTCGCCAGTTAGAAAACAACCACTGGGAAATTGGTTTGCTTTGGAAGAAAGAAAATATCAATTTGCCAGACAGCAGAGCTACCGCGTTGAATAGATTATTCACTGTAGAGAAGAAAATGCAGAAAGATAAACATTTTGGAGAGCAATATTCCAAAAAGATTGAAAATTTTGTTGAAAAAGGATACGCAAAAGTTTTGACTTGCGAAGAAGCCGAGAATCGAATAGCAGTGATGTTGCAGAAGGAGACATCGTCATTATTGCGGATGATAGTTTTCCCAGAAACTCATGGCCAAGAGGAAAAGTTACGCGAATTTTTCCTGGTCCCGATGGCAGAGTACGGGTGACTACAGCAACAGGAGTTTATCGTCGTTCCATCACAAAAAACATTTTGTTGAAGCCAAAGTAGTAAGTTGCGAGCTCCGGAGGATGTTGTGAATTAATTTCACATCTGGTATTGAGGTTGAGATTGTTCATTGTTTTATATAGTTACCATTATTGTTGTCAGTTTTGTTTTTGGAATGAAAAGCAAAAAGTCAAATAGAATCTTATTTTGCCAAAAATAAGAAGTTTGCCCAAACAGATGGTTAGATAAACTGTGAATCAGTTCAAATATGAAGCTGTCTCAATACTAACATCATCAATTCAGTATTTTCTTTCAAGAAATTGAAATGAATTCATGTGAAAAAATCAAATACCAAACTGAATAAATTTATATTTACTGCTACATTACTAGCATACGATGGCGATTGGATAAATAATCAGCCTACATAATAAAAACGATGATTTTGGAAAGGTGGCGATTTATTCCTCAACATAGTCTCATTCCAGCTCGATACACTTGACCCAGCGATACTCCAACTCATTTAACTCGTTTGAAAAATTACAAAGTACACCTCCGTGGCGGCGATAACCTCCTTATTCGGCTCAAATTCCTGCCCGGCAAGCGACTTTCTCAATGAAACAGAGAAGTTGCATGGAGCCAAATCTGGAGAATACAGTGGGACAGAAGCTCACAGCACAATTCAACCAATTTGACCGTGACGACGGCGTTGTTGTGGTGTAAGAGCACTTTTTTCTTCGGCAAATGTACCGTTTTTTGGTAATTTACCGTCGAATTGGCCCATTAATTTGGCATAGTAGAGCCCTGTGACCGTTTTTCTCTTCAGGTAGTTGATGTAGATCACCTTGTGAGTCCTAGGAAACGGTGGCCATCACCTTATATAGGTAATGACAAAGTTCCACCGTTTGGTGGAAATTTGTCATTATATAACTTACAAAGTAGGTAGAATTCGTGTAACGTACATTATAATCAAAGATGAAGAAATAATCATATTTGAGAAATATATCATGACATTACTACAAGTTGCTTCTTACGCTAATATTTATATACCTACCACAGGTAACTACAATTGAGACTACCTCCATCAAATCACCTAAACCTCTATAATTTTTATATACCTGAGGTGCCTCTTCAATTATGATTACCTGAAGCATATTAACTCACTTCTAATAATAACTTCCTTGGTTTTTTTAAAAAACAAGTTCAATAATGGTGATCTATTCAAATCCAGTTGGTAACTCATTACAATGTTTGAATTTTAAAGTTTATTAAATTCTATTGCTTCCAAACGATACAGTTTCAAACCTCTATTTTCTATATGTAAAAATTCGAACTCCTCGTTAAAGACATGATTTTCTTCTAAAAGATGATTTGAATATGTTGAACTTGTTTTCTTATTTCCATAGCTCATATGATGTTCCTGGATTCGAGTCCTGAATGTTCTGCTAGTTTGACCAATATATACCTTGAATTGAATATTAAACGACATTCTGTTGACAGACCAAAACTCTAATTGATATGCAAGTCTTCAAATGGACGGCAGATCATGGAACAATCTAATATATTTTATCATAGTGAATTATAAACTATTTCAACTGAAAAGGGAATACTTTCCGTTCATCAGGAAATTAACTTATCGGCATTTTACTTCATTATCAAATTGTTGAGACTCACTTGCGTTGCTGTTAGCTATTATTTCTGGAGGAGTATTAGTCAGTTTCTATTTTTGCTTGCTGTCTTTTCCAGCTATCAAAAATTATTAATTCACCAACTCCTATTCAAAATGTTTTGACTATACCTACTTCTAGCGAAAATACATCCGACGAGAAATATGCGGGATTTCTTTCACCAGTGCTCGAAATTACACTTTACAAACAAGTAAGAATTTATTTCTAGTTTGCGATTTTATTCTTTCAAATTTACCTTCATCTAGTTCTTTCTCAAATCTGTTTACGCTGGCATTTGGCCCAAAAAGCTTTCTGATTGAGATCATTTTTCTCAACTTATTTCTCTCTGAATATGTAATGATTGACTGAGGTGGTCATCAATAGTAGAGAACAAGGTTCATGATATGAGTCGTAAATTCTGATATTTGCGAATCATTTGAAATGCTTGTTCAGAAGTCTAACGAGAAAGTAATATCATAATATTAACGATGATGAACGTTATCAACGTTGCTTGAATAAATATTTGTCGTATAAGCGTAATTCCACATAAGTGAGAGGAGGAGGAGGACGCAGGATATCTTAATTCAAAGTCATTAGTCATTTTCACTGAACGTAAAGAATCATAAATATAAGTAACCAATTAAAAATGGAAAACACCGATACCACTGAAAAATCAACTACTGATTGGCACTTATATCTCCGACTAGTATCCAAAGAAAAGGCGACTGAAACCTAATGGAAAAATGATATTCAGAAAATCTTCCACTAAACAGTGATTTGGTACTGAGGTGCCTACTATTCAATCTCAATTTGCTAGTATCTCGAAAGACAACACAAAAGTGCATGCTGATTTAAATTCAACACCTTTGTTTCACATCTGAATACTATTTGACGGCATTGGCCGCGGTGGTAGTGCGCCCGACTCACGATCGGAAGATCGTGGGTTCGATTCCTGCCTCGACCAGATATTTTTCTCGAGAGAATTTATCTGGTTGAAGCTGGGATGATTCTGCAACCGTGTTAGGAATCACACGTTGAAAGGTAAGACCTCGTTAGTCCTTAGCTCGCACAAGTTTCTCAACTTCTCAGAGTTGTCGTTTGTATGGGGCGACAGCTGATTAACAGATAAACAGATTTTAAACAGACAGATTAATAACAATTGCAAATTTTCACGTTGTCGAGCTGTATGGCCACTCGTCAGTGCAAGGTAGTGTTTATCATCAACATGAAGTCAATAATTTCCCATAATCGAAAATCGCATTCCTTTCAAAGTATCATTCCTCGAACTAGGCAGAAGCGAACGACAAACAACATGTTTGCCAACGCTCCATCTGCCCGTGAACGAGGTAACCAACCGCGTATCCAAAATTTGCTCAATTCGTCGTATAACGTGCATGAATATTTGGATATGATCTATTCAAAGTGGGTGCCGCGCGTGCTCATAATCGACCAGAAACAGCCACAACGAATGGATGATTCTTAGCGGTGTTTGAAGCAGTAACATCATAAAAAACCCGAATTCATGCGTCGATATGTCACAATGGATCCATTACTTCACTCCGGAATCAAAACGATCGTTATCTGAGTGGATTGCACGGCTATCTTGAAAAAATAAAAATCATCAACAGTTATTGGAGAGTTTGAAGGACGAAATCGCGGAAAATGGCCCCATTTGAAGAAAAAGAAAGTGCTGTTTCATCAAGACAATGTACCGTGTCACATATCAATGAAAACGATGGCAAAATTGCATGAATTGGGCTTTGATACGCTTCCGCATCCACCGTATTCTCCAGATCTGATCCCCAGCAATATTTTCCTACTATCAGACCTCAAGAGAATGAAATTTAGCGTCGATGAATCGTCGAAACTGAGTCCTATTTTGCCGTGTTTTTCTGTGTTAGAAATCACACGTTAGAAGGTAATCAGTCAATCAATCAAACATTGAATCAGTTCTCCTTCAGAATCACATTAGACAAATAAAAACATAACATCATCATAGAATACTGGCTGATTCAACATCATATGAAGCACTAATTAGATAACAAATGATAACAAATGAACTGAAAAACCACAAAGTCGAAGACTGTCTGTGGTGTGCGTCTAGCCTATGGTAAATAGTATCGATTAATAGTGCATGAAACCAATGACAATATATTCCCACCTTCAAATTTGAATTTTATAGTAAATAAGCGTGTTTAATATGCAACTGAAATAGTGGTCACTTCATACAATACTAAAAATTACAGAACAAACAAGTAATTTAACATACAATTTTCCCAACATTAGGAAACAATACTATGAAAATGGTATCACTATAATCGTTGTATCGCAACTATATTGAATAATGGACTCAAATTTTATAAAAAACCTACGAACTTTGCAGCCCAACTTTTATAAGGAAGTTCGAACGTCCAACATTCAACTTATTTTTCATTATTTGGTCGTATCAAAGAGCGAACCTCTTTGAAATCACACCGATAATGCCTCACCCAGTAAAAAACTGTGTAGTCACCTGAAAATATCGGACGATGGTTATTTACTGCTCATATGAGATATGCCGTTATCTGAAAATTACACTGTACTCATAACAACACATAACATAACATCATAAATGCAAGATAACAAACAGATATCCATTTTATCTGGTCATTCAACAATTACGGAAAATTAAAAAAAACCCACTTCTAAATATTTCACGGTCGTTTCGAAATAAACAAGTGAGGTACTTTTCATAACGGGTCGTCTGGCACCACCAGGGCAGCTTAATGTATGGGGAACCACCATAATACCTGTGCAAATAAATCATGTTGATGTGAACATGAGATAATAATTCGGGAAAATCAGATGTGTTGACAGTGGGCCTCAATTATCTCACAAATAAACCAGATAAGCAACTCAAATTTCCGTAGAAACTGTAAATTCTCAATATCTTGTGCCTATTTATTTATACCATTATATGAATAATCACATCAGGAAAGCTTTATCAAACGGAGTGTGCCACGGGGGTCCATACTAGGCCCTTTTCTCTTCATATTTATGCCAATGGGTTTATCTTCATATATACATCTGAAACATGGTTTATGAACCCAAAAACAGAGCAATCATGATTTAACATCAGCCATATGCCTCATTAGTGGTATTGCTGGATTCAACTATCCTTAAAAGACAAGCTTGTGTGAGAGAAGGCGATGACATATTTTTTTGTTACAGAAACGTCTTCGCGAATGATTTTATTCCAATTGGAAGCGCAGGCGTATGAAATATATGAGGTCTGTTCAAAAAATGAGGTAAATTTTTCAATTTCGGGGTATATATTCCACCAGCGATTTTTTTATTTTTTTATATTGGTACACTCTTCTCGAACATATGTTCACAGTTTCAGCTGCTTAGCATGTTTTTTTGTTGGTGAGAGGCACAAAAGTCTGAAGTTTTTTGCGTGTTCGGCGATATTCTGCTATAGAAAAAATGTATCGAAGAACTTGCATGAAATTTTGCGTAAAAAACAAAATATGGTGCTCACAATCATTTATAATGTTGACAGTGGCATACGATGATTGTACTCTGAGTCAGAAAATGTTTACAAGCTTTTCACAGAAGGTCGAGAAGATGTGAAAGACGACGCTCGCCCTGGATGCCCCAACATATCAAGAATCGATGAAAATATTGAAAAAGTAAAGAAAATTGTTATGGAGAAGCGCCGGATCAATACTGAAAAAGATGCTGAGGATGTCGGCATATCGGTTGCTTCATGCCATGCATCCAGGAGATCCAATACCAAAAAAGCACGCCAAGATCCAAGACCAAAAAAAGTACGCCAAGATCCACCAAATATCTAATTTTCGGTCACTGTTTTCTTTTCGATTACCGTGGCGTAATGCATCAAGAGTTTTTGCCACATGGTCGTTTGGTTAATGAGGAGTATTATTTTGAAGTTATGCGCCGCTTGCGAGAAGCAAGTAAGAAACAAGAAAGCGTCCAGTGTTGTGGAAAAACAATTTGTTAGCTTTCGCAACACGATAATCTGATCACTCGACGTTGCTTTTTCGTAATTTTTGGCCGAACACAACACCTTAATAATCATGTTGCAGCCACAGTATTCACTAGATTTGCCCCCTGTGACTTTTTATTTTTCCCATGATTGGCGAGACCTATGAAAAGACGGTGTTTTGCGACGATTGAGGAGTTAAAAATTGAATCCGAAAGTGCATGTCAGAACTGCTTCGAGGACTATAAAAAACGCTGGCAACAAAATAGAAATTAATAAATATATAAATACCAACTTTTACCCGCGGCTTCGCTCGCATTTATGCCATTAAATAAATAAGTGTCTGTACAATAGAAATAAATCAATATGAGAACTATATTTTAATGTTTGGCTGGGATTATCAATTTTTTTAAATTAATACCTAACCTAACCTAACCTAACCTAGCCTATCCTAACATTACCTATCCTAACCTAACCTAACATAACCTAACCTAAACTAACCTAACCAATAAAGTAGCTAGATTTTGAGATTTTTTTGACAAACAATTTTTTATCCTACATAAAAGATATTTTTTCAAATAAAAAGTATCCTATGTTACTTCTAATACCTCCAAGAACATTTGTACAAAATTTCATGATAGAGATTTTATCGAGAGGGTATGATATAAAAATCAAAAATGAAACAATTAGTGGACACAACACTCCAAAAGTGGGGAAATACAATACAATAAAACATATCACGACAGTTGGAACAAAAATACAAATCTAGACAAGTATATACAATTTACAAAAACAATTTCATGAGGTTTTTTATTATAAACTCAATCTAACTCAAAGGTACTATTGGTGGCCAGGTATTAATCAATCCACAACACACAGTCACTATTTTATCCAAGATCGTATCATCTTAACCACAAACAAGCAGATAAAATTGGCACATAATCTGATAGAATCCTATATTTTTGACGAATGCAACCTATTACTCTTTCTACATGAATCCTGACATGTGCAATAGCTCTAGTTGCTTCTATCTTCTAATTCAATTAGATTCAACTGCTTCTATCCTTTGGTAAAAAAAATCTGTTTTTCCGTTAGTCAGCTGTCGCCCCCATACGAACGACAACTCTCAGAAGTTGAGAAACTTGTGCGAGCTAAGGACTAACGAGGTCTTACCTTTTAACGTGCGATTCCTAACACGGTTGCAGAATCATTCCAGCTTCAACCAGACAAATTCTCTCGAGAAAAATATCTGGTCGAGGCAGGAATCGAAGCCGCGGTTTTTCGATCGTGAGTCGGGCGCACTATCACCGCGGCCAATTCCACAACAAGCAGAAATTCACTAGGTATTTTGTAAAAATTCACCAATCACGATCCCCACAGCTTTCGCAATTTACAAGACAACACGTTGTAGGCATGATTTGACAATTTGTGGTAGTTACTTGAAAATGGCCTTATAAGCCGAAACCGGTCGTAACAAATAAATAAACACAGTAGAAACTAGACAAAAGTATTTTCTTTATTCTATATTCAACATGAATTTCTACGAAATAAATAAGTCATCAATCAAACGAGAGGCATTATTTTATGTTATGAAGGACGATTGATATGTAAAATCAGCCTCAGACAACCAATTTCAGCAAGCAGCAACACAATCACTCACAAAGCACAATCACTCACAAAGCACACTCACTCACTCACTCACAAGTTGATTATGGACTTTTCTGGTTTTATTTCCATTAGAACAAACAACATGTGTGCCTACAGGCGGCCATTTTGATTTAATTTTGACAGCATCTCAGGCAGGTCTAGCCAAGCATTAAAATATAGCTCTCATATTGATTCATTTCTATTGTACTGACACTTATTTAATGGCATAAATGCGAGCGAAACCGCGGGTAAAAGCTAGTATAAATATAAATGTGAAAGTTTGTGAGGATGGATGTATGTATGTATGTTTGTGACTCTTTCACGGCTAAACGACTGAACAGATTTAGATGAAACTTTACATAAATACAGTTTATACAGCAGAATAACATATAGGCTACAATTATAAAGGTTTAGTGTAATTTTGGTCATGGTACTGTGGCTGTCTAAGCAATGAAGCGTCATCGCCGAGAACGCGACCCGAATGCGGGTAGACGCGTGACGGCAGACGTCGTTGATGATTGTGTTAGTTTTACGAAATGTTTTTATTCGATTCTCGAAGCTATTACTTAGTGCAGTTGGCATATTTTTTCAGTTACTGTATTTTTGAAGTGAAAATATAAATTACTAGCTGTATATTAACATACAGCTGGAGCTACTGAACCTAGAATCTTGAAATATGCAGGTAGGTTCTTTGTATAGCGTAAATAAGCATCAAGAAAGGGAATCAGGAATTTCTACCCCAAAGGGGAAAAATAGGGGTTCAAAGATTGTATTGAATTTCGTCAGTTTTGAAGTTGGAAACCTGAAGCTTTGGGTTGATAAAAAAATATTTTAACCATTTGTTTGAAATGGTCTGTCACGAAACTTAATGTAACAAACCAAATTCTACGCGGCCGGGGCCGCGGGCAGGACTACAATTAGTCTACAACATAAAACGAATCTACATACAGAATTTCAGCTTCCGAAACGCGCCTCTTTCACCCCCACGGGGGCACCCCAGTTGGAATATTTGAAAATCCTTTCTTAGTGCGTATCTAAGACCTAAGAAGCAACTATGTGCCAAATTTTAGCTTCCCAGGACTTACCTGAGAGAGTGAGTGAAGTGTAGATTATGAGCATTCAGATTTTGTTTGTGAAAATCCCGTAATACAAAACTATTTACCAGTTAAGTCAGTCAATGCCAAGCACCAGATAATCATGAAAATATTATAATGATAACATGTACAGGACGACTGAATGTGTATAATAGATAGCGGATTTCAGTCATTATTTTTTACGTCAAAATGACCTGAAAGATATTTGAACAAACAACTTCAAATTAATTTCCATGTGATTTCAGTAATCATAATAGATTTCAATTCACAAAAAGATTTTCTACAATGATTTTGAAAATGACTTTTAGAATCAGACAGAGTACGCGTTAAGACAAAAGAAGACGGACACTTTTTGTCACCAATGACTCCTTTTTGTGAATTTACAAATACAATTGTTTTTTTTAATTGCCAATTGCACTCGGAATTGATATGGCAACTGAACGCTTTCACCGTTTTCGCATTCACCCGTTATTCACAACGTTATCATAATACCTGGACGGAAAAGTCCCGGGTGAAAGAAAGAAAACGTGCTTTTTTTGTTCAAACTTAGCTTTATTCAGCAACGTAATTTCCATCAAGAGCCACACAATCATCCCAGCGCCTCTCCAACATTTCAATATCATTTTTGTAGAACGATTTTTCTTTTGCCTCAAAATAGGCCTCAGTTTCAGACATAACATCTTCATTTGAGGGAAATTCCTTACCGGTGAGAATTTCTTTGAGGTCTGCGGAAAGCCAGTAGTCGCTGGAAGCCAAATCTGGCGAATACGGTGGATGTGGGAGCAATTCGAAGCCCATTTCATGCAATTTTGCCATCGTTTTCATTGATTTGTGACACTGTGACACTGTGCATTGCCTTGATGAAGCTGCACTCTCTTTTTCTTCAAATGGGGTCGTTTTTCCACAATTTCGGCCTTCAAACGCTCCAATAACGCTATATATTATTCACTGTTGATGATTTAAAGATAGTCAATGAATATTACACCACGCACATCCCAAAATACCGAGGCCATAACCTTTCCAGCCGGCTGTTGTGCTTTCGGGCGCTTTGGACGAGGTTCACCAGCTGCTCTCCACTCAGATGACGATCTTTTTGATTCCGGAGTGACGTCATGGATCAATTTTCACATATCGATGCAAAAATTCCAGTTTGTTATGTTTGAACATGGTCAAACTCTGCTCAGAATCATTAAGACGTTCTTGTTTTTGGTCAACAGTGAGCTCGCGCGGCATCCACATTGAACAGAGCTTTCTCATAGTCAAATGCCCATGCAATATAAAGCCAACATGTTTTTTTTTATATCTTTACAATGTCAGCTAACTCACGCAATTTCACTTTTCAATAATTCAAACCGAATTTGTGGATTTTTTTGTTTTCTGGCGTTCTCCATCATCGGTGTCTCTTCAACCACGTTTGAAGTCAGCAAATAGAATAGGATAGAATAGAATAGGATATAATAGAATAGGATAGAATAAAATAGGATAGGATAGGATAGGATAGGATAGGATAGGATAGGATAGGGTAGGATAGGGTAGGATAGGGTAGGATAGGGTAGGATAGGGTAGGATAGGGTAGGATAGGATAGGATAGGGTAGGATAGGATAGGATAGGATAGGATAGGATAGGATAGGATAGGATGGGGTAGGGTAGGATAGGATAGGATAGGATAGGGTAGGATAGGGTAGGATAGGATAGGATAGGATAGGGTAGGATAGGGTAGGCTAGGGTAGGATATTGTAGGGTAGGGTAGGGTAGGGTAGGGTAGGGTAGGGTAGGGTAGGGTAGGGTAGGGTAGGATAGGATAGGATAGGATAGGATAGGATAGGATAGGATAGGATAGGATAGGATAGGATAGGATAGGATATCTTAAATTAGTTGAAATTGTAAAATCTATACATTTGTACAAGTAAAATAGAGTAATTATACAATAATACCTAGAGTTGTAGAAATTCTTCGGTAGAATAAAATGCATTTTTTGTAAGGTAGTCAAGTTAAGGACTTTGGAATTCAGTGAAACTACATGTTTCCAAATAGCTGAAGTGCTTTATTATAGCAGATACTACCCTGATAACTTGAAAAACCCTGACCAAGAGCCAGTCGAGAGTAGGGTAATCGTAGTTCATTACCATTCCGAGTGTGATGTTTATGTATCATGTTATTTTTAATGAAGCTAGATTCATTTTTCTTGATATTCACTGTTATGATGAAGATATACAGGGAAGGCAATGTTAAGAGTGCCAGTTCATTGAAGGTATTTCTACAGGATTCTCTGTGACGTAGACCTGCCATACATCTTACTATCCTTTTTTGCAATACTTTTGTCATATGGGCGGAATTTTCCCAAAAAGCCAGCCCATAAGACATTGCACACTGCTTACTCGTCATGTTTTTTCGTGGTTTTTTGACCAAAAACAACACCGTAATCATGTATCAGCCACCGTATTCGCCAGATTTGCCCCCCTGCGACTTTTTTCTGTTTCGAAGATTGAAGGGACCCATTAAAGAACGGGGTTTTGTGACGATTGAGGGGATAAAAAGCGAATCACTGATAGAGCTCAAGGACACACCAAAAAGTGCATACCAGAACTACTGCGAGGATTGGAAAAAGCACTGGCACAAGTGTATTTTATATCTGAGGGGGGCTACTTCGAAGGGGACAAAAAAGAAATTGATAAATAAATAAATATTTTTTGAGAAATGTAAAATTCACATTATTCACCTTATATTTCATCGTTATCCAGTCACACCTACTAGATTAACAACTCTAAAACATAATCATGACAGTGAACCTTCAATAAATAATATAAACCATGACACAATTATTCCCTAGGCGTCCCCACCGTGAACCACCAGTTTCATCTCTGGTGAATTCGCGTGAATATATAAATGCTAATCACATTTTTTTAAACCATAATCCAGAAAATGATTTGGCGGGGTTTCGAACGAGTTTGAGCTGTTTTATTATCGCAACAAAATCGGTACAATTAAAATGTTTTGATAGCATGATTTTGACGTTACGTATAAAGGAATACATCAAACGTTTGTAGGTTCAAACTGAGTCCTGAGGTGAAAGCAAAAAGTAAAAATGACATTCCGCCAAACATTTAATATTTTGATTTGTTGTGTTATGTGTGTTGTGTTGAATATTGTGGCCTTAGGTGAGTGGTTTACATATCGACTTGTTGAGTACTTATCGTAAACAATGTACTAATCAATAATGATAGCTATTTTTTAGAAACAGATTTGCTTTATAAGTAGTCAACTGATTTCGAAATATTTCATTCTAACGTTTTTCTGTATAATTGGAAACACATACCGGATATTTTTCAATCAGTGCCGGGGTGTTGATATTTGTGTCCTGAAATGAACCAAAATTTGTGGAAGTTGTCTCTCTCAGTTAATAAAGCAAGAGTAAGTATGGATTTCGAACGATTTCAAAAAGTTGTGAAAAACTGGACGTACCAAATAGAAAATTGGCGAAAATTTACAGCAGTGAAGCGAAAGTAAAGACAATTCCATGATGCGAAATGGTATGGCTCAAATTACCAAACTGAAAATTCTGTCTGTTCGAGGTTTACTGAGTTGAACCTCGAAACGATGAGCAGCCACAATCCGTCGCGAATGTCTGATATCTTGGTGGAATCAAATGTGCTGTCACTTGAACACCTCCTGTGAAAGTATCTATAAAAGAGAGAAAAATCTCCAACATTTCTTCGATGTTCCAGACTATCAAGGTTACAAGTGATGTCCAATCAGGCAAATGGCTTTTTTCTGGATGGAATCCAGCAACTTCAGGGTATTCTTAGGGGCGGAGCTCCATACATGAGAACAATACTCCAAACAAGGTTTGATCTCAGCTTTATGAAGCATCAAAAGTTGCTGAAGTGTGTACAGTTTTCTGGTTCGGAACAGTGTTCCGAACCAGAAAACTGCCTTTGCAATTCCAGTGACATGATTATGCCAAGACATATTGGTGTCCATTTCAACTCCCAACAAACCTATCGAAGCAGAAAGCGGAATTGTCTGACCTTACATTATTATATCCAGTTCGGAGACATTTTTTTTTTGGAGAAAACCGATGCCTGGGTTTCTCTGAATCTGTAGAGTATGGAGGGTGAGTCTAGACTCACAGCACTTAGGCCTCATGTCACCCATTGTACATCCTCCCGAGGAGTTGTCCTCATAGGTCCTTCATTTTCTTTCCAGGAAGGTGAACAGGTCACTAAGAGACATCTCCTTTACATTGGCAGGTGTAGGTTAAGATTCGCCGAACACACACTCTCTTTGACAACCTTGAGGTGTGTCACGGTGGCCTCCGCGAAGGTTTTTAAATGTGCAGCGATATTACTGTCGCTGCGCGGCTTCTTCAACCTTCTTGGGGTTCCCCCCGTGGAGATGCACAAGTGAGGGAGCTTTCCTGCGGGGGCAGCCGGTTCCTTGCCTTTATTCAAGGCGGAGCTCTTGGCGCCTGCCGCAGGAAGTGTCCTTGCTGTTGGAGGTGAGCCTCATTCCAAGCGGTAGATTGAGGTGAACATTTCTGTTTATCCTCAGCCACCGCCTTAGATTGAGGTGAGCACTTCTGTCCAGCCTCGGGATTGGTTTTTGTTTTTGTTGTTTCTGTTTTTGTGTTGTTTCATTCATGTGTGTTCCTACGAGTAACAAGAAAAGAGTTGGTCACCTCTGGCAGAGCCCCGCATTACCAGAGGTAGGCTGATTACAATTAGGTTTCGCCCAGTTCCCCAAGGAGATCGTTCGTGACCGCATATCACCCTGCGACCATTCAGCTGTCAGCACGATTCCTTACACCTTAGCTTGGGTAGGCTGGTCCACGGTGGCTTGTTTTGCAAAGGCTTTTGGGGGGTTTTAGTTTCCCTCAACCTACTTATTTCTGCCACTGACCAGGGGTCCGGCAAATCCCTCCGTAAGGCCACATTGACTTCCCGACAGGACCTTCAGTCCCCTGGCCGTTCCCCTATCCGCCACCTGGGAACAAGCCATAACATCGACACATGGTCGAAGGCCTTAGAAATATCAAGTTCAATAGCTCTTGACTATCCATGTTTCTCGATTGCGTTACTCCAAATATGGGTGACATACGATAGAAGGTCGTTAAAGCCTTCCAAATATTTAAGGTTATGGTAGTTTACGGCTTTCTTCATGATTTTTGATATCACTGACAGCAAAACGACTGGTCTGTAGTTATTTGGAAGATTTTTCTTGCCATTTTTGGGAATAGGCTAAATGCGAGCAAACTTCCAACAAGAAGGAAAACCACCTTTCTTTTAAGACAGGTTGAAAAGTCTGCAAACAGATGCGAGTTCATTTGCTCACTTTTCAAGTACGATGACTGGCACTTTATTCATAATGCATTAATGAAGTAACTGATTTCAATTATTCAGATATAAAATATCTGCCACAAACAAGTTCACAAAACAGCTAGGTACACGTCCTCAGGGCTATAACATACTAATATTCTCTTATAAATTCTACCAATGGTACATGTTACAAGAACCATGAATATATCATTATGTAATTACCTGAATCAATTGTCCTTTCGAAGATTACTGATTATAATCAGTCAACTCTATAGATAATCACTACTTATCCCGAAAACTTTTTCCACGAAGATGATTCATTATATCCTCACTTATGATTACGTGGTTTATATACAAATTTTAGTATACAATAGAATCTACTTTCAGTATGTCATTCACTATGAAAAAGTTACAGTGATAGCGAAAGATGTGATATATTATATTTTTCAAAATAAAGTTTGTGAACATCAAATCATATGGTATAGTTTATGAAATTACAATAGATCTTCATCATGTAACGGCCAAATCAATCATTTTATGTCAATATTAATGTCTTATTCCGAAATATCAGCTGTGTTCTATGGAAATGAAATTTTACTTCATAAAGAGTGATTTTTTTTGCTGGTATCTTTTTGGCAACACTGTTTTTGACAAATCACGCGTGAATCGCGTCTTGTGTCATTGTCAAACTTGTTCAGTTTGGTCTATAATTTAACCATGAATCGACTTACGAATGAACAACGCTTTCAAACTGTTCAATTTTATTATGAAAATTCATGCTCGGTGAGGAAAGTGCATCGTGCACTTCTTCCAATTTATGGGCAGTTTCGTCGGCCTACTGAGGGAGCTATTCGGAAGCTTGTGACCAAATTTTGAACCCAGTTAACATTATTGGACATTTAACCACCAACACGCATACGTGGAGTGAGGACCGAAGAAAATATTGCGACTGTATCCGCCAGTGTTCGTGATGACCGTGAAATGTCGATTCGCCGCCGTTCGCAGCAATTGGGCCTCTGTGGAAAATTTTGCGAAAGGATTTGGGTGTAAAACCTTATAAGATATAGCTTGAAGCCACACGACTTCCCACAACGTCTAACATTTGGTGAATGGGCGCTGACAAAGTTGGAGAAAGATACACATTTTTATCGAAAAATTGTGTTCAGCGACGTGGCTCATTTCTGGTTGAATGGATACGTTAACAAGCAAAATTGCCGCATCTGGAGTTAATACCAGCCACAAGCATTGTACCGATGCATGCCCAAAAATCACTGTTTGGTGTGGATTTTGGGTCGGTGGCATCATCGGGACGTACTTCTTCAAAGACGACAATGGCCGGAACGTTACTATGAATGGCGAGCGCTACTGTGTGATGATTAACGACTTTTTGTTGCCCAAAATGGAAGAATTGGACATGCTTGACATGTGGTTTCAACAAGACGGGCCACATGCCACACGGCACGCAAAACAATGGCCCACTTAACAGCCGCCTTCGGTGAACAGTTTATCTCACGTTTGGGGCCCGTCAATTGGTCGCCTAGATCGTGTGATTTAACGCCGTTGGATTATTTCTTGTGGGGTCATGTTAAGGCTCATGTCTACAGGGATAAACCAGCAACGACTGACGCTCTGGAAGCCAATATTGAAGCATTTATACGTGAAATACCGGTCGATATGTTAGAGAGAGTGTGCCAAAATTGGACCTTGCGCATGGGCCATCTAAAGCGGAGCCGCGGACAAAATGTGCATGAAATCAAATCTTTTGAAAATCAAATCCTATACCTCTTAAAAAATCACCGGTATATACTATAGTGTATAGCAATCCTATGAATGATATCTGATTCAATTCCATAACGAATGTTTTGAGTACAAACTGATTAGAAAAAAAGTGTTCAATGTTCATATAATAGTAATAATAGTAATAATTCATTCACAACGATATAAAGGTACAGATTGTGAATAAAGAAATACCGAGCAAGCAGTACTGCCTGTGTGTGGATATACATAAAGATATAAGGCTGATATAGAGTAATATATCAATACAAACATTCAGAGTGATATTAGAGGTCACAATTAAAACAAAAAACTATGCTAAAATAATGTATATGTGAAATGTATATACATGTAGGTATAAGTTACAATATAATAGAGAACATATTTGAAGTTGATAATAACATGGCCTTTATATATATACAATATGGCTGAATTGATCACTTTCAACAAATGGGACGGTAGCCTGATGGGTTGACGTGGGTGGTTTGTTTTACACAATCAGTCGACCGCTGTGTGAACCGGTGGTTTGAGCCGCAGGGCCGGGCTATCGATTTTCATTTGCTATCGTCCAACACGTGTTAGGAGTCACATGTTGAAAGGTAAGACCCCGTTAGTCCTTAGCTCGCACGAATTTCGACGTTTAAAATTTGTCGTTTGTAGGGTGGCGACAAATGGTTAACGGAAAACAGGTTTTAACAGATTTTAACAGATTTTTAACAGATATCAATTTCTTACTCATTGTGTCCATTTGTTATGCTTTCGTGTGAATTTCGTTCTAAGCAGTCTTGGTGTTTCCACTATTGTTTTCGTTTTTTATACATTTTCAGAATTATCATAAATCTACATTAAACTACTCTAAAACAAAGTTTATTCTATAAACAATAGTATACATTCTAAGTATTACATTTTTGCAAGAGAAATCATTGAAATTGATTATTTTTGTTATTCTATGAGTTTTTTATTGATAGTGTTGTCAACATTGAAAAATGAAAGTCAGCTTACCACAATTCTGCATTCAATTCAATTCTTCTACAAAAATTATTTACGTAATTGTATTTGAAGGGGATCTTTTAAAATTTGCATTCTTCGAAGAACGATTTCTTTTTATACAATGCGAAACACCAATACTACTATCACTTATAGTCTAGTTCATAAGTGTCATTTTGGAAATCTTTAGTTCGCTTTTACAGAAAATTAGGATTTTGTTATCATTCGATTAGATTCAAAAAGAAGGTATGCAACAAGTAGTTGAAAAATTATTGAAGAAATGTTTGTTTTTTGGTACAATACAACATTATTGGTACGAATTCTTGAAGAGCAGAAAATTTTCTAAAAAAGGGTGTGTTATAAGGACTCCGCCTTATTAGAAACAACAACTAAACGTTGGTTTGCTGACTTCAAACCTGGTCGTGGAAACAGCGATGGTGCAAAACGCAGTGGACGTCTAGGAACACCAGACACTTTAAAAAATCCGAAAAATCGTTTTGAATGATCGAAAAGTGAAGTTTCGTGAGTTAGCTGACGTTGTAAAGATATCAAAAGAACGTGTTGGCTTTATATTGCATGATCATTTGACTGTGAGAACGCTGTGTTCAACGTGGGTGCCGCGCGTGCTCATTGTTGACCAAAAACAAGAACGTCTTGATGATTTTTAGCAGTGTTTGGGGATGTGCGTGGAGTTGTATTCATCGCCTATGTTAAAAAGGCAAATACATCAACATTGATTATTATATAGCGTTATTGGAGCGCGTGAAGAACGAAATTGCAAAGAAACGACCATATATGGCAAAGAAAAAAATGTTGGTCCATCAAGACAGCGCACCGTGTCACAAGTCAACTGAAACAATGGAAAAACTATATGGATTGAACTTTGAAATGCTTCCACATCCACCATATTCGCCTGATTTAACTCCCGGCGACTACCAGCTGATATACCTCAAAAAAATCCTCACCGAATGAAGGAGTTATTGCTGAAACAGGCCTAATTTGAAGCAAAAGATGAATTGTTCTACAAAATTGGCGCTGAAATGATTGTGTGGCTCTTGATGAAGATTACGTTGATGAGTAAAGCCATTTATGAAGAGAAAAGCGCGGTTTCTTTCTTTGGCTTGAATCTTGAATTACTCGTGGTCAGATTACGAACCGAATACACTCAATTCGTAGTTTTCCTGAAGGTAAACTAACATTTCTCGAAATGTCACTTGCAAACCAGACTATTGATTAAGTATGAACAGTTTTCCGGTTCTAGGTAAGAGCGTTCAACCGTCAATATTTTAAGGGGAATCACACTGAATTCGTATAATGTGGTCGTGTATGTAAACTCTACGTTGCTATTGGAATCTGAGATAGGAGGCCACTAATATAAGCTGTAAATTGGTGATATTCATTGCAGTTCACAACAAATCGTTCACTCGTGAATCAAAAAGTATTATTATTTTGAATAAATTGTAGGAAATAGGTTGATCTGAGTAATAATGGGTAAGTGAAGGCGAACTAATTGTTTTCATTTCAATTGTGCTACTATTATGTGGTAGCCACTAGATGCAAAATACTGAGCCATAAATATAATTAAATTGGATACTTTTTTACAATGCACATTTTAAAAGATCTGTCAATTTATTATAAAAATTCATACAATTGTCATTTTAAGTATTTAATATGGATAAACTTTGGCTTTTACACCAGGTTAGGTTAGGTCCAAAGTGAGTGGGTTTATTCGACCCCCCTCCGCAACCCGCAAGGGTTTCTTGTGGCTCACACCTATTCACACTCGACGAAGCCGATTAGTTTGTATGGTGAGTGGTCTTTCAGATCAAATGGTAAGAGTACGGCTCTGCCGAACTTTAAAAGCCTGATTCGGTCCCCAGCGGGGCAGGCACAAAGCAAATGATCTGCTGTTTCATCGTTAATGAGGTAGTCGGAAAGTCAAGGTGGAAGATTCCCTCCTTGATACCCGCGACAATCTTCCCATATGAGGGTTTTTGCACGTCAGCTACACCTGACGATGCCTTAGATTCAACCGTGCAGGGATTTTTCGTCTCTGGTTCTGGTGAATCATCACTTGAGCTGATGTCCAATCAGGCAAATGG